AAAAATTTGCAAGTTGTTGCGAGAATCTCGAAAAATGTTTCTCCTATCTGAAATAAAACCAATAAAGAGACCGATTAGCAAAGTGTATGAATGACTCGGTGAAGGCAATAAATACCATATAATAATATTTTCACCTCCGCACGAGACAAACTGAACAAACTGACGCTGATAAAGTACTTACTTATGTGATATTTGTAATTTCCTTTTCGTGCATTAATTCGCCCGGTTTAGTGTGTACGTAGTATGTGAACCAGGTTAGGGTTAGGGCATAATTTTAATCCGATTTTCTTCAATTTACTTTTAATACGAGTTCGGGGACTGTCTGTTAGCCAAGTGAATATACCCCCTGCCCATAGGTTTTAGTCCCTTTACACAACTGGGAGTAGGCGAACAAAATTACGTTACCTCCATATTGGTACATACTTTTCTGAAGCGCCGTTTATTGCGAAATTGAGAGGTTTCAAAATGGGTAGTAACTTGGTAGTGAAAATTAACACAAACACAAATTATTATCAAATCACATTTAGCGAATCGATATTCCATACAATTTAAGCAATTCGCCTTAGCGACCTTTCCCACGGATGTTTGCCCTGAACGCGAATCTTTACATCGATAGAAAAGCTTTTACATTCTCGGGTCAGACTGTGTTTTGATATGTCATCGATCATATTACAAATTGTTTTATGTTTTTACGGTCGAATAATCCTATTATTTCATCACTATCTAGTCCATCAAAAGGTTGTTTTGATTGGTTATTGAGGGATCGACATCCTTCCGCAATACAATTAGGAAATGAGGCGAAAGAGAAATATTGGACGAGAAAGATAAAATTTGTCAATTATACAATTTGTTTGAAACAGTATTGTAAGGTAGTATAGCTTATTTGAAGAAATTGACGGGCTAGGCTTTATTTAAGATGAAAAGCGGGTATTTCCGTAGTATAGTATGTACCAGGTTAGAGTTAGGCCATAATTTTATTCCAATTTTCCTTATTTCAGTTCTATTACGAGTTCGGAGACTGTCTGTGTTACCCAAGTGATACCCTTTGCCCAACTTGATCTGAATTAGGCGAACAAAATTAGTTACCTCAATATCGGTACACACACTCCTGCAGCGCCGAGAAGCATATTTGTATAACTATATTAGTTAGAAGATCGTGCACATGTACATTTAGAGAAGTAGTTTTCAACCGGGTTTCCGGCAGTATAGAAAGTCTAGAGCTGACACGGGCAAATTACGGCCCGCGGGACAAATCCGGCTCGTTGGGTAATTCAATCTGGCCCGCCTGATGCTGCCACAACCAAAGTCAAACCAAAATTTTTAGCTTTGCTTTTGTAACACTGTGAATATGGTTCATAAAATGTAACTTTTTGCGTCCTCCTTCAATGGCCCACCAGTCTGGGTGGGCAAAATTATTGGCCAGTGATCCAAAAACCTTGCCCATGGGTTCCACAAATTCCCAATCATATCCGAGAATCTATATTAATACATGTATATTTTCTTTTTAAATATAATAAGTACCTATTAGCTATCAGACTTGCCACTATTATTAAATTTGCTTTAAACATTATTTTGTTTTGCCAGTATTAGGTTTGCTTTTATATATGTTTATAGTTATCTAGATGTGGTCAGTCTCGTCGTCGGTAATTGTTAACCATTCCAAGTTGATGTTTCTCTTAATGCCTTTACGTTTGACGAACCAAAAATCCCAAGAGAATACAGTCATTTTATTATCTAGAATACTTTCAATTTGTCAAAGCTCATTATCTTCATAGTGTTGCGTGGACGAATGCAATCTGGCATACACTTTCTATTAACTGAATTATAGGATTGGACGATGCAGCTATAGGTCAGAGAATAGGCAGGAGTTGGCAAGGGTTTTGAACCAGGGGCCAAAAATTTTGACTACCTAGAGTCCTAGACTGACGGGCCATGTGAGTGTGACGTAAAAAGTTACATTTTATGAATAATATTTACAGTGTTACAAAAGCAAAAGTGGAAAACAATGAGCCCCGTGCCAAAACTAAATTTAACCGCAATCCAAACAAATTCCTAGTCTGGAATAGAGCCAATTATCGCATGATTAGAGAAGCAAATGGTTTACTTATTGGCAGTATTTATTTGCAGAAATTACGTATATATAGCAAGACTAGTGTTTGTCCGATCGGTTTGCCATCGAAGACATTTTCAGCTTTGACTCCTCGAATGTCAGTATGTAACAGAAAAGTTTGAAATATACACCAGAAAATTATACATTGCTGCCTCATTTAGATTCAGGTTCAATTTGGGTATTTGCATATCTCAAGATTTAAAAAAAATTAGAATAAGTCAGTTCTCTGTGTAGATTCGACTGTGCTGAATTATTAATTTAGTAATTGACTACGATTATTCAATTAGAATTACTGACTGAAATTTACTGTCGCAATAGTATTCATGGCACAGAAATGGAATGGATGAAACACTTTTATTTTATCCAATTATCCTAATAGTGTAACTAGAGTTTTGCATGATGACAATGACCCTAACCGCAAAATAACTTATCATTTTCTCATAAAATCTTTAAAAAGGAGCAAATATTTTTTCGTGTGGATATTGTATTTTATTTGATGGATAACAACGCTTTGAGTATGCAGTAAACATTGAAAATTTTGGAAATTCAGTCTCATTTTTAGTTTAGGCCAAAACTTTCAAAGCATTTAATACTTTTAAGATATGACCAACAGCCCGAAAATCTTTTTATATCAACATCTTTGCTCACCTTAGTCACAGTGGTGCAAAATAGTCTTTCTTGTGTAAACATTCATAAGCTTTAAAAACACCCCGTTGATCCCTTCTATACATTAGTACAATGGACACAGCCTACGGCACATTTTTGTCATATTTTACGCCTAATTTGTTATCGCGTTGGCTTTATCCAAAATGTCAAAATATGATATCTCAGCCTAATGGAACATGAGACGAGCTTATTCCATAATGCAATACTCTTATGTAAAGAAAACTCATCGTAAGGTCAATCTCATACATCGATGTCATTTCAAGTTTGTGGCCGAAAACTTGAAGAATATTTCACAATTTAATCGATTTTACTTCAAAATTCTGTGCTTTGAGTTGAATTTTACACCGAATATAGTAAAACTATTGACATTTTTTTGAGTTCTAGTGGAAAGAGTTTGATCCGCGCAATAATATAGATAGACACGGCGCCCAGTGAATGAAGGTGCATTTGAAAAAAACGCATTCATTTTCACCCAATTTAACATAAGTTTGTACAAAAATACTATGAATATAAAGTGATGTAAAATTATACGAATATGGCCAATATCTGAATACTACATTCAACAATTTTCCAAAACCTTTTCAGCAGAATTTGAGCTAGCGTACTTCCCATTTCAGCGTTTGTTTGATCTTTCTTTTAAAAAAAATGGTACTCCCGTAGTATGTGTACCAAGTCTGTGTTAGCCAAGTGAATATGTGCCCAGAGGTTTCCATCTTTTTATATATTTTGATGTAATGTAGGCAAATAAAATTAGTTACCTCCGTATTGGTACACACATTTCTGAAGCGTATTAATAGTAAAATAGTAATTTAAAATTGTCATTGGGCCAAACCCTTAAAAATCTTGACTGGATTCCAGGACGTCACAATGGCGAAATCGGCCAATTTTTCAACACCACACTCATTAAAGGTCGTTCTTAAATTGATGCTCTCAGGGGAACAGCGACTGATTCCAGATCTTACATTGATGTCAGCCAAATTACCGTCTGTCCGCACTGTATAATGTAAAGATGCGTTCCAACCATTTGTTACAATCAATGTTCTGCTAGGAATATATGGTATATATTTATATATATATAGGGCTGACATGGGCAAACTACGGCCCGCGGGCCAAATCAGGCCCGTTGAGTGAATCACTCTGGCCCGCCTGCTACCACAACCAAACCTTGCTCACCCCTGATATAGGGTGTCAGTAAAGTCATAAAATTTTTAAAATTTCAAAAGGAATTTATCGCAGATGTATTAAATGAAGTAAAAATACTTGAACAATTACTGACTAAAAAACAACAAACCTGTATAAGATATATCGAGAACTGACTTCATAACAAAATTGAAATTGTAAAGGGACTTTATGGACACCCTGTATACTTCAAGTTTAGCGGGAAATTTTTTTTTTTTGTGGAATTTTACATATAAAAATCGTTTGCGTTTATGCCTTCAAATTTAACATGCACGCCTCCCAACAGGGAATAAAGTCCTGCCCAAGGGGGAAATTCGTTGGACCTCCAGAAGTATGCGCACCAAGATGGCGGACAACCTGAACATAGTATGTGTGTACCGGTTAGAATTCAGGTTGTGCGACATCTTGGTGCGCATACTTCCGGAGCACCAAATTGTTGTCCTTGGATAGGAGATATACTTTTTATTTGGTATAGTTTTATTGTTATTGTTCAAATATTTCATAAAATTGTTGCACATATATATATATATGAGCACATTATAAACTATTCAATTTGTGCAAAAACCAAAGTGCAACCTGCGTGTAACACTATCTAGGGATTTATCACAGATAGAAAATATAACGGAAACAGAGTTCTTACGCAAAGCGAGGAAGAACTGTTCCAAAATTGGAAAAAAATTTCTCAATAAAAATGTTGGAATCATCGCTTCACATAAATAAATATACAATATTTTGGGCGCTCCAGAAGTGAGTGTACCAATATGGGGTAACTAATTTTGTTCGCCTACTTTACATCAAGTTGTGTATAGGACACAGGGACTGACACCTATAAACAGGGAGTATATTTACTTGGCTAACACAGACAGTCCCCGAAATCGTAATATAACTAAAATAAGGAAAATCGGAATAAAATTAGGGCCTAACCCTAACCTGGTACACATACTACGAAAGTACCATATATTGAAACAAGTAGAAAATAGACTTTATAGGCAACGAACTGCGAATCGTAATTACTCCATTTGTTTGTTTGCACCTGCAGATTTCAAATCGATATAAAGTTAATTATTTCTGGAGGCTTCTGATTTGTACGGAGTATGACGTCATTGTGGGTTATTTCAAGTCATCTCGTTCCAATTTGTTTATTTATCTTTCTCACAACGGCAGTTATCGGAAGAAGTAAGTAGCGATTTTATTCATTTTTAGTACTCCCGAAGTATGTGAACCAAGATGGCGGACACCGGAAGGTAGTATGTGTACCAGGTTTAGGGTTAGGCCATATTTTCAGATACAAATACTACGGGAGTCAATTGGCTAGTCACCGAACTCGTGATAGAACTAAATATGGGGAAACTTTGAATAAAATTATGGCCTAATCCTAACCTGGTACACTTACTACGTTCCGGTGTCGGCCATCTTGGTTCATATACTTCGGAAGTATCCATTTTTTTAATTATTCATAAGATCAGTATAAACGTTTTTCTTGCGCTTATGGTAACCATTATGTTCAATTCAATTATCTATTGAGAGGTAAATGATACCTCTCATAACTCGTGAAATTATGATTTGAATGTGAATGTGCAATTCACCAAAGAAAAAAATATTTGAAACATATCTTAAATTTTACAGTTTCAGAACATCTTAATCAAATGGGCACGAATTATTCTAAAATTTATTTGTTGCGGTACGTGTCTCTTTATAAAAATATTGAGAATGTAAAATTATCTCTTACTATTTTCTCATGACTAAATTTAACCAACACTATTTGTTTCAAAAGGGCCAACACGAAACGAAGTTCCGCCAACTGAAATAGACGGCAACGGTTGTGAATGTAAGAATCCTTCTACATAATTTGCCCCGAATGTTGTGTTTCATATTTCCTGTCTATCATATCGCCAGTTTCAAGTATTATGTTAACTGATATATCTACCAGTATGTCGCATGGAACAGGGCTACTCGACTGGCGGACCGCGGTCCGAATCCGGACCTTTCGAGTATTTGATTCGGACCGCAGCACCTAATTCTTAATTTTGGATCATTAGCCCATTTTTAGAGTTTCATTTTATAAAAGACTTTAATTTATTCGAATATATATGCAAAGAACTATAACACCATTATAAACAATCTTGATTAGCTGATAATCATTAGCCGGTCAAGAAAGTGCGCGTTTAAGGATGCCGCAATATAATTTCTGGAAACACGGGACCTAAATAATTTTGAAGTTTTGTGTGCGGATCTTCGGTAAAATAGTTGAGTGACCCTGGCATAGAACAGTGGTAGCTAGTAATTCCTCTAATATTGATTCTGTTAGTTTTGAGGTCTGACAACCATTCTTTGCATAAAAATACTTTTAGCGTATGAAGCAAATTCTTTCGATTGAATTTGAAAATGATGGTTGGTAAACTTTATGTCACATTTTCTCTATTGTTCGAATAACAATGCACTTGTACAGGTGTTTGGACGCCATGGATGAATAACGACGATTATGACGCAAATGTTGGAGACAATACAACTTATGATAAATTACGTGGTTCATATGACTTCTGTGAAAAACCAAGGGACATAAAATGCAGGTAAAAAGGTGATTTTGAAGTCTATTGGTAAAAATGTTTCGAAATCAACTTGTCATTGTGATTCTTGCAAAACCTGTATTTGAAACTATCAGATGGCAACCTCCAAGATAAAAAGTGCTATTGGGTTAGAAAGAGCATAGCACTTTCATAGAATCTTGTATTGGGATAGAACGGATCTTTATAAAAGCCTTGAATGTGCGAACAAGCTTACGTGACACCAACTAGCGAACAAACAAGAAATGAAGTACTGCAGTTGCATACCCTTATTGAGAACTATTATCTGTGCATCACAGTCGCCAAGTATTATAAACTGTCTATATAAGTATTCGATTAGACAAATGTGTGATATTCATCATGCCGAGATAATATAATCAGATCAAGCCATCATAACTCACCCATCTTAAGTATCTTGGGATGATAAGGGTGGCCCAAAAGTAGGTATACAGTTATTAAACTATTTTATATGCTTTGAAGCTACTTGCAGTTCACTTTATGTTACTTGTGTTAAGTACCACAAAAATTGCTTATTTTTTCAAATAATAAATCTAGTGTGAATTTTACATTAGTTTTCTAGCTGCTTGGAAGGTAATAAAAAAAAATAAAATAACTGTATACCTTTTGGGCCACCCTGCCTCGATATTACCTTCTTGGTTTGTAATCCCGTCTAGGTTCAAAACACTTCTCCTAAAATGAACACCATATCGGTTATGACTTTAAACACACTATTATTTACGAACGACATTACTTATTCTTGCAGAGTCTTGGTCAGAGTGCACATATTACATTTCATTGCCAGATTTTATTTACTAACAAAGTTCATTTTCCAGCAATTTTATATATGGTAAATATCACTGCGATATTTCGGCACTCTATTCTAATGCATCCCATTTTTAGGTGAAATCAATCACTAAAAAGCCTTTCAAGATATTTAATTTCAAGTTAAAAGCCCATTTAAGTACACTTGATATATATGATGCATTATTCAGGAATTCAATTGGAAATAGTAAATTTGATAAATTAGAGTAAATATGGTCGCAAAGCATATGGTATTGTGGAAAGCCTTTTTTGGTCATTTGATACTGTATTATAGGATAGATAAAAAGGTAGATCACCCCTTTATTCTGTTTCTGTTCCGTTAACGTCGCTATTTGTGTTATGATACGATGCAGAATAGGATCGTGGTATTCTCCAAACCCCCAATCCAGCTGTTCTCAACCGGGGGCCACAGAGCAGTTGGGTAGGGGGCACAATGCTAGGCACAAAACTGATTTCAGGCCTCACATTACAGAAATATTCCCCGTTTTTTCTAGTTTTATTGCTTGATAAGTTTATTTCACAGAGTGTTTCACTTTTTTGTACATGAATTGTTCAAACATAATGGGATTTGGAATCCAACAATCAAAATACCACTATAAATACCCTTGTTATGGTGAAAAAGCGGGCCATGAGTGCTAAAAACTTCCAAAGATGGCCACGAGCCATAAAAGGTTGGAAGCCACTGCCCTAATCTTTCATACTGTACATTTCTCTATTACTAAATGTGCTCAAATCTCAGTGTATGGGATTGTAGACAATCTCATTTGGTTGTATATATATTATAATATCGATTCCACGACATATTACCGAGAAAACATACCCACCTAAGCAATACCATATGAAATCAAACATGAAGGCCAAAACTAAGTAGTATGTGTATCCAATCTGTCACAAGAGACAAAATCGCACAAAAAATCGAATCCCTCAGAACCCACAGAGATTTTAGAAATAAAATGAACATGAAAGCCTTCTATAGCGAAAAATATACATATATATAGTGAAGTTTGCGGCTTCGTAGCAACTCAACCTAGCAGTAAAGCAGTTTATACATATAAATATTGTAAGCGAAGGAATTGCCATATGACGTTACCCATTGTTTGCTATCCAGGTTTTAACCTCGAAAATCGATTCCAATGCATCGGAATCGATTCTAGTCGATTACGCGAAGAATAGTTTCTGTAATCGAATTCGGACACGATTCCGCCATCCCTAGTTAGCTCACGTCGCCATGTGTGGTTCAATGTGCGACTCGGAACACATTAGGGTTTTTCTTTTAGTCTACCCAATCTAACTAGTGGTTCTCAAATGGTGGGGCGCGCCCAACAAGGGGGCGTAGACAATTATTTAAGGGGGCGTGAAGCTGATTAAAAATAAAAATATTTGTCAGATTTGATCTTGCCCGCCTTATTTTGGGACATTTACATTCCATCCACGTATTTTTTGAATTAAAACATACTTTCGGTTTACTATATGTATTTATAGTTTATTGTTAGCTAGTAATTTTTGAGATGGGGGCGAGACTTGACAAATTATAAAATGGGGGCGCGGCATTGAAAGTCCGAGAACCACTATATTATAATATGCATCTCTCAATTACTAAATTTCTTCGAATCTCACCGACTTATAAAATATTCAATATCAGTGTGTGGTATAATTTGACCTCGAAACCACTAATCCAAGTTAATGGACCGGATTACAATTTTTATTGCTTTCGGAAAGACGTTAATCTCTGAAAAATAATTGACTAACATCACTAGAATTTTAATGTGGTCTGTCTCTGTGACATGATTGATAGTAAATCGAGTGAGAACCATTTCCGATTTACGATAACAATGACTGTCAGTCAAAGTTCTGAGTGCGTTCTGAAAAACAATATGTTTCTTATAAACTTAGATTTTTAAAGATTTCCCCTGTTAATGCGCAGTTCCGCTTTAGTTGAATACAGTAGCGCCAGTGGGCTTTTATTCAATGGAATCGTTTTTTCATCTTATTTTATACACTTTTACGTTCTGTTTGCTATGAAATTACTTCATTGGAGTCTTTTTAACCTCCAAGCCCAAAGGTGTGTTCGGAGTGTCAACTCGGAATTAAAATTGGGTATCTTGCGTTAGTGTTGTAGTCGTAGCAGGGATCATATTTTCGAATTTCGCAAAAGCGGAGTCAGTTTTTGATTGTCCGCAATAGTGATCTACCAGAGCTATACCGCCACCACTATAGTCCATTACAATAAAGTTTTATTTAAATCTTGTTTCAGCGTTCTTGCGGAGGTAAAACACGTTTGCACACCTTCAAAAGTTTAAAAAACCTGTCCACGTATTTCATATAAAAGTACCAATCTCCAACTTATAAACTAAACGAAAAACAAAATAAAAAATACGTATTTTCCTAATTTCAGAGACAGCTTACGATGGGAAGTACCGTATCACTTACTTCGATTGAAACACACAATATGTGACGTTGAGATCGGTTTAAGATGTGTTTCAATACCTCGCTATAAAGCTCGTGGAAGAAGAACGCACTTTTGCAGTGATTATGAAATCACAGTTCAATGCTGTCATTGCACTACGGTATGGATTTTGTAACTCACCGGGCGTGGGCAAGGTCTTTGAAACAGGGGCAAAAAATTTTACCCACCTAGACTCACGAGCATTGTAAGTGTGACGTAAAAATTTACATTCTATCAACAAAATTTACAGTGTTGCAAAAGTGGAAATCAATAAGCCTTGTGCCAAAACAAATTCCTTGAGTTATTTTTTTTAGCTAACACATCAAAATTTGGCTTTAATTGGGTCGTGGCAGCATCAGGCTGGTCAGTTTGAATTAAACGGCGGGCCGAATTTGGCCGGCGAGCCGTAGTTTGCCCATGTCAGCGTCAAACATTATGGTTCAGAATGTACCATGAATTAATTGGGTTAATCCAGTTTGATAAAATTATCACAAAATTCTACTAAATTTACGATTACACTTAACATTATATTAGTTCTATCAACAAGTTTCAACTACCTCAAGTTTGACAAAATTGAGTGAGCTTAGTAAAAATAAAATCGGGATAATTTTAATCCAAAGACAAAAAAGTGTAGTATGTGTTCGATAATATTCTCAAATTGAGGATTAATAAAACAAACTCTTGAATTTTGTAGACAACTAAAGAACCGAAAACGACTGTTGCTATAACAACTGCATCGATGGAAAAACCGGAAAAAATAATTCTGGGGATTCACGATACCGGTCATGGGATTTTCGAAGGAAATACCAACTGGGCTGACTCAGAGTCAAATAAAACGATGCCGGAAAGTAAATGTGAGTGACAACAAGTTTTTGAAAAATTTTAAGGCATTAGTTATAAGCTATTTGCGGAACTGTTTGTATGACGATTGTTTCTCTGTAAAAGTGCTTTTCTTGTTTCTGATTTACGAATAACCAACTGTTATAAAACACTTAAACTTAGTGTTATTTCTGGTAATTTTACCTAATACTTAAATACAATTTCACGTTACTGATAGATCGATATTTAGCGTTATTTGGACGACTCTTTATGTAACTCTTTTTCGATTTTTGCTAGTAGTCTAATCTTAAATGCTTGCTAAAAGTCTGAAATCCATCCAAACCCAAAAAATATTTTATAAAATAATATTCCTCGAAGTTTAATGAAGAAGACAAATGGTATAACAAAACATGACATCCAGAATAACTTTATGGTAGTATCTTGAATATTGTTTCCCAGATAGAATGATCATATTTATTATTTCAGCAAGCTCGAATGAAGACGGCGAAGTCGTTCCTCTGGCAGTAATATTGGTGATTGTATTCGGATGTATTGCTGTTATTGCTTTCAGTTTGATCATCTGGATGATAATGACAAAAGGTTTCTTCATGACAAACAGAAAAAGATTTTCACACGACGAGTATTATCAAGAGGTTAGTTGAGTATAAAAATGAATGAATAGTAAAATATTTATAAAAATACCCAAAGCCGCACGCATCAAACTACATTTATCAGTGCTGCTAGTTTTGAGCATATGAGGACGACTCGTGAGTATTATATCGAACATCGTCTCAAGACTGCGGTTAAACATGCCTAAACCACCGACACCCCTACATATCGATTATTTTATTATTTGCTCAGTTTTGCTAATTTTCGGCCGATTTTTTAATCAACTTACTCGTTAAAATGTCTTTAATGGGACTCGAACCTATTTTGTTTTACCTCCCTAAATATATCGAACCCAAATCGCCATTTGTTGGTTGTTGCGAGACACGCATTTCAATTACATTATTTGTTTTTGTATATCATCCAAGTGGCTATGAAATTATTGAATAAGGTAATATCCAATCCGACATGTCTATTTTATTTGCGATACCAGCGTAATAACCACCGGTGCGCCAACGAGGCTTTAGAGCAGGGATGGGCGAGGTTTTTAAACCGAAGGCCGTAGTAAGCCCATGTCAGCTTCAGAGTTTCCTATGAAAACCAGAAATATAGCGCGTTCAGATTAAAATTTAAAAATATGTTTTCAAGATTGTAATTATTTCAGGCACCAATGGAAATAATTCGAACGCCGATTAAATTACCTGACAATCACCCAGAAAAACACAAAGTCGCCTTCGCTCGAACAAATTCAAGTTCGTACAGTGACTACATGACGTCATCATCTGATGACGAAGGTTATCGCAGTCGGCCTTCGAAAAATCGAAAACGAAAAAAGACCAAAAGACAAAGAGATCGAAATTTAAACAATGCTAATAATCGTTCGGATTACACAAGCGATAGTTTTGAATTTCCAACTTTGGACTCGAGGTCACCGCCAGAAGAAAATAGCGATGAAGGAAGACTAAGAAAATGGTTTCCAGACGAATATGAAAGATCTCAGCAACAAAAACGTCAACAACAACGAAGTACAAAAAGCAAACTAATGTTTAACACGAGTAATAGAAAAAGTATTCCATACATGGACAACGATTCATGATATTTTCATTAAAGACAATTATGGTGATATCTCTAGCGCAGAAACTGATCAATTGAATGCCTGATGTTCAAATTATATAAATAATACAACTCAGTTGATTGCGATAATACCTCGAAAATTTATCTTTATATATAAGTTCCACGATGCTCTTAATTTAAAGAGTCGAAAACATACTGACATCGTCATAAAAAAAATAATTGAATACCCATAGGAGTAATGCAAAAGCAGTCAAAGCTCAAGGTACATTTCCACTGGCCAAAACCAATGATGGGTACTCCCGTAGTATGTGTACCAGGTTAGGGTTAGGGCAAAATTTTATTCCGATTTTCCTTATTTTAGTTCAGTACGAGTCCTGGGACCGTCTGTCTTAGCCAATCAAATATACCCACTATCCATAGCCTTCCGTCGTTTTACACAACTTGATGTAAAGTAGGCAGAATTAGTTACCTCCGTATTGGTACACATACTTCTGGAGCGCCCAATGCAAACCCCAAATGTAAGGCCGGTTGCCAGGTGCGGTTCAAGTTATTCATTTGCTGTGGTCTTCTAACGTCACAGACACAAAACAATAACTGATACGATGATATTACAATTCTCCAGGAACTGGTTCGAGCGAACGCGTGGGAGGTAACCTGCCAAATCTCATTACTGGCTCATTTTTCTCGTTTTTACCGTATTGCATCGAATCTTTATTTTCAACCCAAACACAAATAAACGTAGCAATTTGAAATAATTTTGACCTAAATTCGCAGTTTAATTTTTTGTGAAAATACATTTTTTTTATTACTGCATGTAATATAATAAATGATTTATCTGACAAACTTCTTATATGATCATTGCGTAGGCAAACTACATATTAATACGCTCATTCACTGGCATAAAACTATGATGTTATATTAATGAAAGAAGAAGACAAAATAACAACAGCATAATAGCAATAGGTCCTTTTCGTGTACAATAACTTCATAATGTATTGATAGCCGTGGCTCTTTATACCAGCACCGCTTTGTGGTAGCGCCTTTCTGCTTTTCCTACAGTTTGCATGAATTCTATATTTAACTACGATATCATGGTGTATATAAGCAACCCCGTGTAACTCCCGATATTTGGTCCCGATGTTGGATTCGCCCTCACGCCCGACTAGGCGCAGACAGATTATTGCTTCCAAATCATCGTGCGTTTTCCTTTGTTCTGACGGCGTTGTCTCTCGACAAGATTAGGTGAGAGGCTTTATAAATATTCAAACTAGTTGTGCATCAACCTTAATAAAGATTTTACTATAGAGTGCAGATTACAAAACAAAATAGAAGAGCAATCATTTGAGAGGGAAGGCCTTAGAACCGGTCCTAGCACTTATAAGCATGTTGACAAATGACAGTAAGATCTGAAGATTTTAAATTCACTTTAAGGCTCCAATGAGCTACAGGGGTGGTAGCACAAAAGTCATATTGGGGGGGCAAAATAGGACTGACGAAATGCGGTCGTTGTGTGTCAAATTGGGGGTGACGAAATAGGGTCGTCGAGCCAAGTTAGGGGTGACGAAATACGGTCGGTGCGTGTCAGATTAAGGGTGACGAAATACGGTCGGTGCGTGTCAGATTGGGGTTGACGAAAAACGGTCGCTGCGTGGTGTCAGGTTAGGGGGTTTGAAATTTCTAAGAAATCGCTGTTTAAATTGCCGCTTTTCAATCAAAAAGTCGCGTTGTCTTCAGAAACTCGCCGCCGATGAACGTATTTACCAGATTCACAATTCCGTGCGCGTACAAAAATAAAATAAATGTTATCGTTATAGTGGAACAAATTTGTGGAAAATTTTCGTTTTAGAGAAAATAACACAATCGTAAGGGCGTTTACGGGCCTAAATAACACGTTACGCTGATGAGTGATGAAAACAATCACGCGCAAGTTTCTATCGAGAATGTTTTCATTCAACGGAAACGTCTTGAAAGCGGCGTCGAAAATGTGTGACATCACACAAATATCCGATATTCTTATGAACGTGAATTCCGATATTCGAATGACGAGATATTCGAATACATTCGAATACTTTATTCGAATTGGCCATCCCTGGTTCCATGTAAATGTCACATCCACGAAAACTGCAGTGCGCAAAACACTGGCCATTTGTTTCGTTAATGTTTTTACGTTTACTCATTTTATATCTTATGAAGTTCCAGATCTAAACCAAAATTGAAGTTTTAATTTACCGGTATATTCATTCATAAGGATACATGTCAAAATAATGACGTTTGTTAAAAATAAGGACAAAAATATTTTCTAAGACAAAGCTTCAAAATAAGCACAAATCGTAGACATAAGGACGTTATGGCAGCCCTGATTATAGGTCAAATGGAGAAATAAACTTTTGGAAAAGGTACAATACTTGAGATAGAGTGAGACCAAAACGCTATGCTGCTAAGTTTTTTTATTATATATAAGGTGCAAAGTATTCATTTCCGTCACCACTTTGCCTACATCTGACTGACATTTTTTGCAATGCATCGCATTTTTGATGCCTTGCTTTCTTTCGACAAGAAAGTTGAAACATCATCCTGGTAATTTGCAAGACAGACTGTGTCTTCATTTTCACAATTATTTGTTCATTTTTTATCAAATTCTCCACGTCCTTCAGCAAATATTTCGATCAGTCATCAACGAACAGGGGAGTTTGCGAGCACAGATGCAGGAGCCAGGAGCGTCGTCGTCGTTAAGCACCTTGTCTGAACCTACTGACCGCCACTTGGAGGTGCAACATCGCCTTTGTTTGTTTATTACACGGCGAGCGGAGTTGGACATCTAGTAGTAGTATATATTTCCGATATAAGATAAGGCTACAATACATATGCCGAAGAAAAATCTAACACAACAAGCTAAAAGCAGAAAAGCATGACGAATAATATATTCAGAATCTATCAAAAGGACGAATGTAATATATATATATATATATGTAATATATATATTCTTATTGTCCTAACCTGAAAATAGTCCTGTTCTCCATCTTATGTTTATTCCTTCGTAAAGTCTTTAATTCAACTCAGAAACCAATCAGTATTTTATTAATATATATATATATATATATGATATGGCCATAACTGCGGAACCCCAATAAACACTCCAGGGGTTCAAGGAATCCCTATGACAAGTGGCAAATAACAATTCGACGCGGAACTCAAGACGGTCTTTCACAGAACACGGGTAAAACACGAATATTTTATCATACCAGTGTATTTGATTATATTTTAAACAATATATTCCACATATAATAATACAGGCTCTCGGTTCTAAATATAAACTTTAGAGGCGGAATTCTGGGGTGTCGCGGAACTCCCGTTGAAAACCACTGCCTGCCTCATCTCTTTCCGGAACGATCTCAGTGTCATGAAGCGTTTTGCTTCCCTAACCCAAACTATTAAAATATAACATCAACAAATTTACCAGTTACTGATCACCAAGCTATCGTTTATTGAGATTTCAAGAAAGATGTAATAATTAGATATCCGATAATGGATAAGAGGAAAACTGACAGCTTCGAATGAATATTTTTTCAATGTATTGGCTGTGCATTTCATTATTTCAGTTTATAAAAATAACATAATATAGCGAGTAGTGTATTCAGAGTTATTTTAAAACCGCTTTTCTAACTTAAACGCTAAAAAGACATTGCGCGACGGTCATTAATGACAATATGAGCAATACAGTATCCTAGAATCTAGCACCAGACATTCACCAACTGAGGGCGCTGGTCCTACAATTTAGATTTCAGAACATTGGTCGTACGGTCGGACAGAGATCATTGAAAATGATCGCCTAAACCGAAAGAACTTTATTGGTATTCCCAGTAGCATCTGCACATTATTTCTGTTTTAAAAAAAGTATATTTCGTATTTATCCTATATCCCCTGGGGCGAGACAAAGTTTTTTCTTCAGATGTCGTCAAGAGCATTCAGGCTTGTTATCCCCACCTGCAGGATATAATATATTGATCTAGAATTCACAAGATGGCATGCCGCACCACTAGAGAGTGCACAAGGCAGGTTTCTTCCTCCCGTTGCCATGCCTACGACTTTGCCACTGCCTTGCGGACTCTTCTGCAGAGAAACAATTGGGTTTGGCTAATGTTACATTTTGACGTATTTTGAGACCTCCCGCGTAAATTCTTTTTGTCAACAGGTGGCCTGCAGTATTCATCTCGTTCTAACAGGTATTTGATGAAAGAGATCCCGACAAAGGAGGAACATTGCGGTAAAGAAAGATTTATAAAGAAAAATGGTTTCTCATTTTAGTGCAAACCAGGTGAGCAAATCAGAAATAGGTCTTACCGTAATGCCGTATACCTGTATTAGAATAGTCAGTTACCGAGTGTCGCATTTTCATTAGACTAGATACATATCGTGGAATGTGAGTTATGATATTGCAACATTGAAATAAATTTAAGATTTCCTATAATTTCTGTAACAAACATACATAGGCCTACACATACTGTAGTTAACGGGGGGTAACGTTACCATACTAATTTAGTAAGTTAGGGTGTAATACTACGGTAATAATCACATTTAGAGTTCCTTTATTCCAGTTGTAAAAGCATTTATTTATCAAGCTTAAGCTGATGTTAGCTCATTTTATTTAGGACTTCATACTTTGAACCTCTTTTATTATTTGCCGACATCTTACTTTAATACATTTTGCACAACTTTGAAGGTTCCTTTAAAAAGTACTTCAATTATGTTATATACAGTACGAAGATGCCTTCAATCCAAAAAAGCTTCGTAATTGGACAATACCCAGGAAGCACAAAGAGCATCCAAGCACTTTGGAAGGATTCACTCAAATAATTGCAAATGATCGAGGTCACTTGTATAATGAAGCTCCAAAATCAAAAGAGTCACCGTGGGGCACTTTCATGGGTAATTATGTATAATTCTTTTTTGATCTAGAGTATGACCTATTCTGCTCAGAACCAAGTTATCAGCACTGGGACAAGAATTTTAATAATTGAATCTTAGCTTATCACAATGTTTTGCTTAGAATTTGATGTAGTATTACTACTATTCTTGCGACTTGCGCATATCACCTGGCGGCGTGACGCATTATGTTAAACGTTTGGAATACGCTTGCCACAGCACCTGTGATTACCCTGTGAGATAATATGTGCAAAAGGATTGCTGGTCTCCTCGCCGCATTAGGGTGGTTCACGTAAGAACAGACCGTTTGCGGTTTCCTCCACTATCAAGTCCATGCATCTGAAAATAACTAACTAACTAATCCCATACCCGACATAGACTGGTAACCAAATTGAGAGGCTGTGATGTGTTATATGATTAAGCCGTCTTATCAACTTTCCTTTCTCTTGGGATAAATATGTAAAGTAGCAAAAATTCCCTTGAAATTTGAAAAAAAGTAGTTTCATGCACGGAGAAGGCACGAGAAATTTTAAAATAGGAAAAGAATTTAAAAGAAAAGGAAGGTTATTGACCAGATTATTTAGCTAAGTAGTGGTCACATTAATTTATTATCCGTCCAACATTCACGGCCTTATTCTGAGAAAGCATACATAAAATCATTGTAACTGGGCACTAAGTGCACAATATCGGCCCATATATTACGATTATTTATGCATAATCATCCAAGTTATATAAAAAATGGGTAGTCCAGAAGTATGTGCACCAAGATGACAGACACCGGAACGTCATATGTGTACCAGGTTAGGGTTAAGTCATAATTTTAGGTACAAATACTACGGGAGTCACTTGGCTAGTCACCGAACTCGTAATAGAACTAAAATAAGGAAAATGAAATAAAATTATGACCTGACCCTAATCTGGTACACATACTACGTTCCGGTGTCCGCCATCTTAGTGTACATACTTCTGAAGCGCTAAAAACAAAGTTGTATAATATTCCATCATAAAATTTAATTTTATTGGGTGAATTATTTTAAATAGGTACCTGGGATATGCCATGCAAGATTCCACCTGCTCGACCATCATATACAGCACGATCACGAGACGCAGCGAAGAATTTACATAATTTGAAACAAACTTCTCCTTTAAACAACGCTGTCAATGGATACAAGAAATTTGAAAAGACAAAAAAATCTCAGGTACGTGCACATCATAGAATTAAAGCACAAAATACTTTGGTTAGCATGAGGTATTTTGAACTACTAATGAAAAAAAACATACAAGTTACAAATTGGAGAACTATTTATTTGATTGACAAATTCTTTGTTTTTTTTATACTATATAATATAGTTATATTATACAGGGTATACCAAAATAAATGAAAACCCATTAATTCGATTAACAATTCATTTATTTTAAGTCATCTCGTGCTATATAACTCTGATTTTTCAAGGATTCTGATTTCAATCATTTTATGAACATAAAAATGGATAAGTTTTGAATTTGAAATGCTGATACTCCTCAATGAATAGTGAAAGTTGTCATGTTATTCACCTATCCCGGTTTGTTAATTAATGTACCGTGTCTTTATTTAACTGAATAAAATGGCTGAACTGCGCAATAAGTCTAACTTTGTGACTTACCATACTTAATTCGGCGCTCCGGAAGTATGTGTATTAAAATGGAGGTAACTAATTTTGTTCGCCTATTTTACATCAAGTTGTGTAAAAGGACTGAAACCTATGAGCAGGGAGTATATTCACTTGTCTAATACAGTCAATCCCTGAACTCATAACAGAACTAAAATAAAGAAATAAGATTATGGCCTAACCCTAACCTTGTACACACACTACTACTTAATTCTGCCTGTATTCTTATGATTCAATTTTGCATATATATTCCAGACATCTCCATTGGAAAGACCACATGCACCAACTCCACCAAGATCAAATGAAAACGTTATGGAACCATCTGCTGGCGCACCAATGAAAAAATCCCCTGAACCAGCATCAAAATCCCCAACTGGGAAATTCCCTATTCAGCAAGGTGAATGTGTGAAATCCCCAAAAATAGAAAAGCCTTCCACTCCAGTGAGAAGTCCAACACCACAAGAAAAAGTACGATCGCCTACACCACGAGGCCTCAAATCAAGATCACCAAGACCAGCCAGCCACCTAGACGCCCCTGGTTAGTGTCTGGTGTATTACTATATTTATTAAAATACATCTAAGAAAATAAATTAATTCTTTTATACCATGAGTCTATCAAATATACTGTATAATACAGTGGGGAAATTGAATATGAAAATTCAAAAAACCCAAAATACTACAGAATTTGTTATTGTGAGACAGTTTTTCATTAAATTTATATTACTTCTCCTACTAAGTTTTTATACCCATATCTATAAGGTTTGGAGAAATAATACATTGACATAGAACTAGGCTTTGGACATTTTTTCTATTTTCGTTTTTAACTCAGATCATGGAAAGTTTCTATCGCCCCAAGACACTCCTTAACAATTTTTTGATTGATTCATTTCACATTGCTTTAGTTGAATTTTTCGACTGGGATTTAACACAAATCTCAAATGATAGTTAATTGCTTTGTAAGCCAAATTGGGCCCTGGAATTGATGACCAGTTGCAATACATAATCACAATGAGAAAATATTTTGTAAATAATTACTTTTACAGATAACAGAGTTGGAAGTGCATGCACAGTATAACAACATCAAATCAACAATATTCTCCAACAAGCAATATTTTTTAATTTCATTTTGTTTATGAAGACTATCACGATAATAAAGTATCTTTTCTGCATTTTTTGTCAGTTACATTTATAAGTGTATATTGACAATAAATCTAACAAAATGATAAAATGCCAAGCTACTGTTGGTAGCTAAAACGTGACATTAATTATAGAATATCATGTTTCACCTCATCGAAAATTATTGCACTGCATGTATATTTAGTACGTACACGACTCACTTTTTTGCAATTTAATATTTGCCGTTGTTAAATAGTTATAAAAGTAGCTTGCCAGATAAATGAATATCTTGCTAATTCTTCATCAATTTACCTAACCTCGATAAGTAGGTTTTAGTCTTGTCATTGTTCATTTGATAAATAGAAAATATATATCATCAAATTAGCATACTTAATTGTATTTTTAGGAATTATGTTTTGCACTTTAAGATGATTAGCATTCACATACTACTGCATTATTACATGTATATTATGATGCGTGAAATCTTTACTTAACCCACCTGAGGAATTTCCTAAAAGTATAAATTGCTATCTAACTTAGACTTATATTTGCTGACTGGAAAAAAAAGATCACACTATTTTATGGAACTCACTAATACTGCAGGATTTTTATAATCATCTACAGGTAGCCTACTCTTTATTGACCGTATAATAGACATTTCGCCACTATATCAAGAACTGTTTATATGTATCTAGAAAATATAAATCCTACAGCAAATTGTTTATTTATTCTGCAGTAATTTTTTGCACTGGCTAGAATCAAGCTCATGATTTGGTTTGTGTGTCTAATTTTTTCGAGCATCAAATCGGCCACCTTGCAAAAATAGGTTAATTTTGGGGAGAGTATTGGAAATTTTAGGTATTTTGATCGATCAGGTTATGAAATTACACATTACCGCAAATGTTATGTAACACAGTCATGGGAGTCTTGAAATGGTTACCTATCTGTGCAAGTACGATTTCCTGGCAACTTGCAGTCTAGCTGCTCTTCAACATTAGAACAGCTCAATCTAATTGGAAGGTATCATAAAGGTTAATCCAAATCCAATCTCGCACCTCCTGAAGTATGCGCACCAAGATGGCGCACAACCTGAACTCAGGTTGTGTACCAGGTTATGATTCAGGTTATGCGACATCTTGGTGTGTATACTTCAGGAGCATCCCAATCTCAGAGTCGATAATTTCAAATTTAGAATTTTTTTCTGGTTGAGGCTGCTTTCTTTGCTTCACTCAGCATTCCCATTTTGTTGCTGGTTAAATATGCATAACTGCAAATTAAGTTGGGAAGAGTGCCAAACTTCGAACCTACTAATTTACTGGCGCGTGGGTTAGGGTTTGAATCCCATGCAGGGATGATTATGTGGCGGGAGGATTGCTATCATTACTACCATATGGACCTTTCCCCGACCTTTGACCCCCGAAAAATTCTTCCTATACTTTACCATTGCAAAATTTTCGGGGCTATTTTAAGAGTGATTTTGCGAGTTGGCGAAATGGGGTATGTGTTCCAAACCATCATTATGATTCATCGCATACAATCTGTTTTTTAAAAGTACCGTTAAAGAATTTTAGCCTAGTCAATCACAGCTATTTCTACACTAATTTTTATTACTGCAATTAAATCAAAACTCCTAGGAAGACAGGGTGACCATTGGATATCTGATTTATATTTAAGTTTCCAAAACACAACTGAAAACTAACAGATAGAGTTCAAAAATGCGAAAACGAGGTAATGTTTATGACCAAGCTTGAAAATCTGTCTGAGTGAGAAAAGTGTCTGAGCGGATGCGAAAAGGGAGCATTGTTACGTCACTTTTTGCAATTTGCTGATTGGCCAATGTCACGAAGTAAACAAGGAAGTCGATGCTCGGGGAAGGGTCCATTGCCTTCAATTTCCCCAGATTATTTCCATATTAAAACAATAGCGAACCTTAGGTTTTTAAAGTTGTATTATATTAGGAATAAACAAGTAGAGATAAAAACATTAGAAACAGGCAATAAAATTTTACTGCACATATTAAATTGTAAAACGGATGTGCCGTGACAAGAACAAAATGGCTGGTTGAAATTGAACAAGTAAATCATTCTCAAGTAAACTGCAAATGAATAAATCTCAGTCTGGCAATTTAAAGTAGTTTCCGAGAGGGATTGGATAAGTATATCAGCCCACTGGTCTTTGATTATTTGCCAAATGAGGACAGTACTATTAAAATAGATTCATCCTAGAACAGTAGATTTTGGCAAGTTTTTACTGGAGGCAGAGTTGTATTTTCAAACTGCACAGTTTAGATTTTGAATTCCCTGGCGTATAAAATAGGGGGTACTCCTGAAGTATGCGCACCAAGATGTCGCACAACCTGAACCCTTACCTGGTACACAACCTGAGTTCAGGTTGTGTGCCATCTTGGTGCGCATACTTCAGGAGGTCCGAATAGGGATTTCATACTTCCAATGGTTATATGTGGTATTTCCTACCGAAGCTAATCAAAATTTCCTGAAGGAACTGTTCTCAACTGTTCTCAAATATTTTTTAAAAGGAGCAAGGAGATTCTTATGTCTTGTTATCAAAGTTTGATTTTCTTACGAGTTCAGAGCTGGAGTCAAATTTTATTATTAACTGGGAGTCGAGAGTCGATAATAACTGTTACAAGACTAAGCAGCTCAGGTATTGTCTCAAATTTAAGTACCAAATCAAGTAGTCTCAAATTTAAGTGCTCTTCATCGTGAAAATAAGCTCAGAATAGAATGAAAAATATGGCATTTCAAAATTAAGAGGTGCATGTTCCTTTTATCAGACTAGACTCGTTTTTCATTACAATTACAAATATTTCACAAGAAGGGGATTCAAAACAATCACAGAACACTGGTAACGATTTGCAAGTCAATTTCAACCAGAAATATAGTTAGAACCACAAGATACTTAAAAAAATCTCTCATCTCAGACACAATTAAAATTCTTTATATTACAGAAGTAATCTACCAATAATGGTAAATTTTAACATAGAGAACAACTGATTGGGAAAAGACGGGACGTTTGGACCAAAAGATCCTTGTTATTTATAAAATGATCAATTATTTAAAAATTAATACAATATTATTCAAATTCATGAAAACTTATTCTTTTAGATAAAATTTTGCAGGTGTAAAAATTCATTGGGTAATTTTGTCACGAAAAGTTATAAAATTTTTCAAAATTATTTAAATTAAAATTAGGAAACTGAATCAATACAAAAATTTGCAACATATTCTTTATATCCAACATTCTAAAACATAAGAAAACTTGTTGAGAACCCAGAATTTATCACATGAAAGCAATGTTTTATTTCAGTTTTTTTATGCTTTAATTTACAAAGGCCGTAGGTGAACCGAACCTAAGTAAAGTTCTCTAATATCAGCTCGAATAAAATCGTTCACAGATAAATATTCTTAAACTAAATTTTTTTTCAAAAATGAGTATTTCAATCAAAAAAACTATACCAAATACAATTCAAAGTTGAACCATAAAAATGTATACTTTAAAATTTATGACAGAATCGTGTTGAAATATTTACCACCAGCAAAAGAAATGTATTCTTTTTTCATTAATACATGAATAAGCTGGCAAGATATTATAAAATTGATTTAGTCAACGGCAAGTTTTTGCACCAACAATAAGTTCAGAGACATTTTTTTGATTTTTGATTCAAAAATTTCACCTTTTTTTTTATTTATTATTGTTTTTCAATTTTTTTTTTCAGATTGAAACTATTTCATTGAGTAGAATGAGATAAAAGAATGTGAAATCAGGTGCCAGACCATCGTAATACTAATTTGACAACGACAACGTGTCAATATATAATCGAATTAAAATGGCACAGTACGAAAAATTCGATTGTCTGGTAATTCTCAGTAGAGATGGAAGTTCTGCGGCCCCATCGTAACAATTGGCTGAGAATTACCAGGCAATTTATCATGAGAAAAAAAGTTGGGACAGAAAGACAGACAGCAAAATAGATATTTTTTGGAAGAAATGGTATAATCTCCGCAGCAAGAAAAATTCAGTCTCATTTCGGCTTCTGATCAGTATATTGCGACTTCAGACGTCCACTCAAAAGTTCTTCAAACTTTATCGGACAATCGTTACGATTTCCATAAACTTTCCAATCAATGTTTCTCTGTCTTCTGTCACAAATTCATCCCTGAAATTTTGAGTAAAGTAGTAAAATTGTGCGGCAGGTTATTTGGAAGCCTATAGTAATAAACTACTAGTTTCGTGAAAACGATATTAACATTATGAAGAACATACTTCTCTTAAACAAGGATTTCTAAGAACATTTCCATCAGGTATTTGAAATTCACCTTCAACAAAGATTTAAGATGCATCTTTTGAGAGAGATTATGTTTTCCCTAAACCGAAGTCTTTCCTAGCCTACACAATTTCATTACATTCTGCATGAGGGATAGCTAAAGCTACCTACAGTACCAAAATACCTAGGTTCAGCAGGCACACAGTAATTTATCTTAAGAGACGAATGAAAATTTGGCCCCAAATTCAATACTTTTATAGTCTTTTCGATGTCATTATGTGCCTGGGAGCTCCAAAATTTGAGTACCACCTGCCATTTTCACAACTATAAATCAATATTCCAAGTACAAGCAATGTTCATACCTGCTAGTAATTCTCTGCACAAATTTGTGTATTCAGCATTATCTCCTGCCAGTTTACGAATCTTCAAATCATTAGTTTGATGACCAGCACATACCTGACAAGAAATCAAAAAAATCTCAAAACAAATTCACTCATTAAAAATACGCCTGTTCGGGTACACAGATTCGAGGATTAGGCCATAATTTTATTCCGATTTTGGTTCTATTACGGGTTTGGGGAATGTTTAAGTTAGCCAAGTGACACAAGCCCTCTACACAACCTTTACACAATGTAAAGTAAGCCAACAAAATTAGTTACCTCCATATTGGTACACATACTTCTGGAGCGCAGATTCGAGACCAATAAAGAATATATATTTATGTGCAAGAGGTTTGCTGGACTCCTCGCCATCACAGGGCGAGAAGCCATGGTTTGCCATATGATCAGATCCTATAATATTCTTTTTGATACACCCGAAGTATGTGAACCAAGATGGCGGACACCGGAACGTAGTATGTGTAACAGGTTAGGGTTAGGCTACAATTCCAGCACAAATACAACGGGAATCACTTGGCTAGTCCCAGAACTCGTAATAGAACTAAATAATGAAAATCCGAATAAAATTTTGGCCTAACCCTAATCTGGTACACATACTACATTCCAGTGTCCGCCATCTTTGTTCACATACTACGGGAGTACCCCTTTTTACTCCCAGAGAATAAATAAGAAAAATATCCCTAAACAAAGTACCTCCATTTCTAGTTGAACTGTGCTTTTTCTAAGTGCAAATTTTAAATCAGATTCCTTCTGATACATTATCGAACAAGATCGAGCATCCAGGACTTTCTGAATCTCCATTGTGATGTCATGGATGTGTTTATTGGTTGGCATGGTGATAGAAACATTGAATCTCACGCTTTTTTGAATAACTTGGTTTATTTCTGGATCGAGTCCATTAGTACCTGAATGAGAACAGCCAATTTGAGTTAGCTGAAATGTCTTGAAAAAAAAAATTATTTATTTTCTTTTCAAATAAGAAATCGATGAACATTTTCTCAAGAGAATTTTCTTGAAGCACTCATACCCAAAAGTAATAGAGAATCATCTCTGAGCGCAAAATTACAGACAAATGCCAAGAGCATATATAATCCATAAGACTATGTTAAATGCAAATTGATGAAAAACTTGATATAGTTCAAGTCAATATTGAATGAAAACTAAAGAATACCCCATGTACATCATTTCGCAACATCAATAGCTTCAACAAATATTACCACTTAGCATACAGGTTGTGCAAAATCCTTTTCAGAGCGGTAGTGTGAATTTGTGAATCTTATTAAAGGGAATTGTAAAAAAAGAGTCAGTTTTGTCATTGCATTACAATGACTTATAAAATATTTTTTTTATAAAAAAAATGTAAAAAGTTGTCGTACCATCATTATGAACGGGTGGCGTCTGTACTGATAATAAAGCTGGTATTGTTCCTGCTGACGATGATGACATCACTGTTACCATGGAAATCGGTGACATTCTTCGCGGGGAGGTAGGGGTCGCACTTCGTTTTTGGAGAGTGGGTGAATACTGATGTAACAGGACTGTGCGGAGACTCACGATGTGGTGAATTTAAACCCCTAGGGGGCGATATATGAATGTTTATTTGTTGGTTACTCCCATTTTCGTGATGTATATCCCCATTACATAGTCTTTCATTCGTTTGGGGGTGCGGTGAAATTGAAGGGGGCTCGGAATGGGGGTAAATTTCCCCCTGTTCCAAACAAGTACCATTATTCGCATTACCCCCACTTTGAAACATAATTTCACCCGGCGAAGTACTACCGTCTAAAGTTTTTTCGTTTGTAATACTGGGGCTGGTGGGACCCTGCGTTGTGTCCTCTTCGCCCACAACGGGCAAGTACGTGGGTCTGTGTTGTGAAAACCAAGTATTAAATCCAAACTGTCCCATTGGGTTCGTGGCAAGATTTCCAGGATTCCCAGAAAAGTATGAATTCACTTGAAAACCTGAAAAAAGATTGGGAACGTTATTCTAAAAGTAGTGATTTTGTGGAAAAATAGCAATCATTTGTTTCGAAAGATTTAAAAAAGTCTTGCTACCAGAATTAGGAAGGCTCAAGTCGTGTCACCCTTTATCGAAGACATCTAATTGGAGGGGTGAGACTCGACTTCAGAGTCAGCCGCTGTTAGCTCTTCAGCAGCCTCAACTATCTCCAAGTACTTATATTAATCGAGCAGGCTTTTTATCATAACAACAATTTTCCAAAACAATCCATCCATACCGAACATGGGCAAACTATAACCTGCGGGCCGAATCCGGCCCGTTGGGTAATTCAATTTAGCCCGCCTGATGCTTCCACAACCAAACTAAAACCAAATGTTGATGTTTTATATAAAAGAAATTTGGGAAATAAATCAAGTAATTCGTTTAGTTTAATTTAGCTTTGGGACGATGCTTACTGTTTTCCACTTCTGTCTGCTATCGTAACATAAAATGAAACTTTATATGTCAAAGTTACATGACCCACCAGGGTAGGCAGGCAAAATATTTGGCCCCTGGTCCAAAAAACCGTGCCCACCCCTGATATATACACTTCTCGGCCAATATTCAAAATCACAAATCCAAATTATACATATAACACTTACTTCCTGATGCACCAGGCTGTCTTCCCGGAATAAATCTATGTTGTTGTCGATTATATTCTAATGCTTGCGGTGGCTGTGGAAAAGGAGATGGTTGTTGCGCTGTATACACAGTGTGTTGTTGTTGTGGAAAACTGACGCTGCATGTCGATGCAATGTCTTGTACGTCTTCCTCCATATCAAACTAAAAAATAAAAACGAATATTACCAGGAAAAAATTCCTTATTTCAAAAATTTCAATAAAACTGAGCAATATACAGGGTCGCTAGAAAAACAGAAAATTCGAAAGTCAGATGAGATCACAAATAAAAACCGTATAAACGAATAAAACGTGTGTAGGCATAGATTGAATTGGAACAATGTCCCTCAAGTTAAACTTCAAATCGCTACACAGCTTACTGCTCTGAAGTGCACGAGCGACATTCTGAGCATCTATGAGTGTGATATAATATATGCCTCTAAAAACTTCGTAAAAGTTATTCTCTGTAAAAATAAATAGCTGTTTGACAAATTTTCTGTTTTTCTAGCGACCACCCTGTATTACGTTATCTACGTTTCTGGAACTTTCCATCTTTCCTATAAAACTCGAATAATGAGTAAAGGAAGTTCTTTAAAAATACTGTTGATATAAAAATATCCATTGAAACTCTTACTGAGTCCTGATTGGCTCTTCCTCCTTGTGATGAAAAAGCATCTGTTACCATGGTTACGTTTGTGTTTCCTGTTGAATTGTTGCTGTTGTTACAATTATCGATTGGTTGTGAGATTTGTAGAAGCTAAAAAATGAGAAAAAAAATTAAACGAGAATATTGAATGCTTCATGAAATCAATGATATAAAATAAAATCCTTTTGTGGAGTTTACGACGTACTCCTGTAGTGTGTGTATCAGGTTAGAGTTATGCCATAATTTTATTCAAATTTCCTTATTTTAGTTCTATTACGAGTTCAGGGACTGTCTGTGTTAGCCAAGTGAATATCCCCCTGCCCATAGGTTTCAGTCCCTTTATACAACTTGATGTAAAATAGGCGAACAAAATCAGTACCGTAACCTCCATATCGGTACACATACTTCTGGAGCACCTACAGTTGGCCCATCACTACACAACTGATACACAATAAATCGATTCCAAAACATTGATACTATTTACAAAATCTAATCAATTTGAAAATTAAGAGAAATAAAGAAATAGTCAAGTAATTAAGTTACCTGTTGCTGCACCATTGTATTATATTGGTCAGGCATCATTGGATGGTTTGCACCAGTGTCTGAAATAATAAAAAATAGAGTAGCATTGAAAAAAATGTATTGAATATTTTAGATCTTTTTGTAATGACGAATTTGAAAAGATTGATAAGGCACTTTAATAGAATACGTGAAAAAAGCACTTCCAAATATAGTATTGTATTATGTAGAAAGATGAAAACAAACCAAAAAGGTCTTAAAGTGCAAAAATTTTGCATTTGCCATGCTGTTATTTAAAAATGAGAGTTGCTTCTCGGAAAAACAAGTGTAAACTAACAAAAACACACGGTAAAGCACCAAAATAAAACATACAAAATATAGGATTGTGAGTAAAATTGAAGGCCAAGTAATAGAAGACAAAAACAAGATTTCGATTAAAAATATTCAAATGAAATGCAATGAACAATGTTTAGAGTTCTAGAGTTTACATATAAAGAGGTATTGATGGTAAAATTGATAAGTTGAGAAAGCAAGACTTACAATTTGAAATATGCAGATGATCAGTTCCATCTCCAACTATGGTTTGTCTTTGTTGTTGCAACAAAACATGTTGTTGTGAGATAGCGTTGGGAGAAAATACTGGTGTGGGTTCCTATAACAGACAAATGATTAAAAAGTTTGCTCAAAGAATAGACCCGAAAAGCCTATTTAAAAATGGAATAGTTCACTATTATGAAAAAAAACCAAACAGTAAAATGTACCTTTAAATTCATAACAAATGCAATTAAATATTTTCTCTTAAATCAGTTTTATTACAAAAATTAGCTTAAAACCAAAATTTGAAATAGTTCAATACATCAAGAAATATCTTTTTTTTTTTAATGTTAATATTTCACCCAAACTAGGTTTGACGAAGAATGTAATCAACAAATTAGAGGAATATTGCAATTTAGTCCTAAAGTCGAAATGGATCAGACTGAGGAACTAAAGGAACCCTTTCTTTTCAGTCTGTCTATGCTCACATTAACTCTGAACAAGGCTTCAAACAAACAGGTATTTAATTTTACACTAGTTTCGATGACAATAACAAAAACAAAAATCTAACCTCCTCAATATAACTTCCCCACATCTCGATCAAATCTGACAACATTCCACTTTCTAAATCATACTCTGATAAATCCTCAAGTAATAACATCTCCTCACTCAAATCAAAGTAATCAAAATCCTCATCAATTTGAGTTTTAATCTCTTCTTCCTGACTTAAAATACACTCAGCATAAAGTATCTCTTCCTCACTCAAACAGTTCTGCGACTCCTCAGTGTTTGAACTACTCACTCCCTCACATATCTCAGATAACTGCCAAAAATGAGACATAGTTTTATTATACTAAAACACTCAATGCTCGTAAAAGCTTGTGTTTAAATAACACTTAAATTCATTTTTTTTTTCAGAGTTCTTCAACCCATGTAGGGTTGACCTTTATTGTCTCACTGTCCAGTGTCCACTTTGATAAAATCCGTATAATTATCCTTTATTGCTCTTCACAGAAAGACTCAAAAACAATTAAAAGCAGGCACGATGGTACAGCGTTAGACTGAACATGTTGGCATCGCTGGTTCGAATTCCATGTCCCCCCATCTCACCCATGGTATAATAAATTGAGTACAAATGTTGAACCTGAAAAACTACGATCCCACCAAAAAAGTAATTCCTTATATATCAGTAGATATCAGTGGTGACTTGTACAGGAACTTGTCCAAGTGAAATGCGGGAATACCGTATAATAATAAGAAAGCACTGTCATGTTAAAATTTTTGTTGTAAATTATGTAAAATTTGAAATTCAAATCAGGAGCAAATGAAATTTTGATAACAAATGGTTTTATGAGGACATCTTTATTTTACCCTGTGATAATCTAAGACCAACTATTACACTAATTTACACTTTTCTATGAATATAAATATGAAAGATTCATACCATGCCATGTACAATTGGTGAAGGACTTCCGTTAGATAACCGAGGATGATGGTTGTTGAAAACAAACTGGTCTTCTGGTGGTGGAGTGTGCGAGTTTTCAACTGGACTTACAAACTGAACAAATGGAAAATAAAGTTTTATTACTCATAAAATAACCAGAAAAAAGGAAATCCTGAAAATCTAGATTGATACATATAATAACCGTAACACTCAAGTTGTAATCATGGCTTACATATACCAAAGTTTCTTGTATCAAAGTTTATTTTTTTCAAGTTTGGAACTGAAGTTCAAAATTTTTAAGATACTTAGACCGAGATATTCAAAATACTGAGTGAATGAATACAAACCTCATTTTGATTCGACTCAAAAACTTGTCTTTGTTGTGACTGTGTTGTGTTCACTTGACTGACGAAATAATGGCTGGTGTCGGCTGTAAGAAGAGATGTATGATTGGCAGTGAATACTTAATTAAGATAACAAGAGAGCTGTGCTCAAATATATTGACACGTAACAAGGTGTCGCCATTTTTTTTCATTCTGACACATGAAAAACGAATCTCTTGAAGTCCGAAGGAATTTTGAAATAAGTAAAAGTAATAGCCTTCTGGCAAAAAAATCAATCTTCAATCACCGAAAATTTCAAAGCAATTGGTCCAGTATTCGAAGAGAAAAGCGATTTCATCATGGCAACAAGAACAACAACCTAATATTGAAACGATCAGTATGTACACTGACGTGTCCAAAAAAGTGTTTATTCCCCAGGTTACTTGTAAACTATTTTCACATGGATGAACCAAGACTGTTCTTCTACTTCTACTACAGAGTATGCAAATGTTATATCAAACAAAAACCCAAAGAATAAAACATCCAGAGCTGAATAACAGCATACCATGAAGGTTATAAGTGCGAAAATATTAGTCATCGAATATATTCTAAAATAAGCACAAAAGGAAAAATTTGAACAAAAATATGTCTACACCTATTGAACAAGCAGATTCTTACTTGGGCTTAAGCATAAGATTTTTTTTATTTGCCTGCCTGATAATAGTTTTGTTATCAAAACTTTTCAAGCATAGCTGCTGTTAAAAGTGAGAATTCAACAAACATAATGGCCTGAATCAGTATAAAGCAATGAAACAAACTAAGAAGAGTATTAAATACATAACTCATGTATATAACAGCCTACATATAAACTAGTCAATTAAGATATTATCCAATGGATATACATAACCGATTTAAATCTTAATCTAATTGTTAAAACAAAACAACAAAGAGAAACATATTAAGGAAGGAAATCCATCTGATGATTATTTCCTCAGTCAGTTTTTATAAGTATTGTGATTTAACAATGAAAACATCATCTTTAAGTTATCAAAATATTTTTCTTTTCTGAACTGGAATTTTTGTACTCAGAATAGATTGTACAAGAAAATAGAAAAATTTTAAACATGGTTGACATTGTTGTGTACATTGTGTGTTAATTGTTTTAAGAAAATCTATTCTAGGATGCCTAAGTATGCCAAAGTGTCTTTTAAATCCGCATGTATCTATATATTATTATTTTTAAACAATCTCAAATGTGGAATTTTCATATTTATTTTGAGTAGAGGAGAGTCAAAAAGATGTCTTTAATCAAATCCTGAATTATATCTTCGCATCCAGTTTGCAGTCCATGTCAGGAATGGGATCGGTAAACCAGTTAATTCTATTCTTTGTTCATACTGATATATGCCATCATGTTTGTTAAGTCCCCAAAAGCAGCTATGTTTGTAAACTTCTGATGACAAAATTGATACCAGGCAGGCAAAGCCTTATCTTACGTTTATGCTTGTGCCCAGGTAAATTTCTGATTGGTTTTAGATGCATGGACTTGCGGACAGAGGAAACCATAACCAATCAGCAGATACAAAACAATACCTCTTAGTCCACAGAGGGTAATCTGAAGTGCGAAAGCAAGCAAGCAGGTTCCGGATGGCGCATATGCTATCTGCCGAGAAGTATATTACCTGTTTTAAGTATTGTGTGGGTGGGCTGTAGACGGGTCTTCCTCCTGTAGATTGCATCTGTGGTAAAGCATTGTGTGTGGTGGATTGGTTTCCATTCGTACCCTGAACCAAAGGACTATTGCGGTTGCGAACTACTAGAGGAGGAGAATTTCCACTTTGTTGCTGCTGAATCTGAAGCCTAAATTTAAAAATGAAAAAAAATAATGAAACAGAGAAATATATAGTTAGAATAATGATTGAAATTAGCATCATATTGGACTCGGAATGTCTGAACTATTAGGAGTTCAAAATTGATGCTATTTACAAAATATACATTCAATTATCAAGGTAATTAGAATTACTTCTTTTCCTATTCACAGTATAAATTTTGCTTCAAAAAAGGGTTTCAAATAATTTCAAATTGTGACCATTACAAGACAAAATTTTATATACTATACCAATATAAACATTTCTGTTTATGACCACAGCATCTTTACCTGGCAGAAATGATGTCTAAATTCACTCAATCATATGAATTTTAACATGAATATGAACAATTTCACGCTTTTACAGAGAACTTGCTCATAGGAAGGATGTTTGTAATTATTTAGAAGTAAAGAGGAATTATCTCTGAGCAAAATCACGGGTGTCCTCTATTCCTGCAAAGCACAAATTATACCTTTGTAAATGATTTAGTAAGGTCTGGTGTTGCACTTCAGGATTTTGTCTTGCAACAGGACTGGATGGAAGAGGTGGAGAAGCTTGAGGTGACAAACTGTGTTGTTGGAGTCGCTGGAATAAAAAAAAGATTGAATATAAATGGGCGTCGCTGCTCATCTTTGCTTTCGAGCAGCTTCCCTTCACGAGTAAAACGTTTTATGATATATGCACATTCAATCAATGCCATATGAAAGACTGTTGCCGTAATTATAATACAGCAGTATGTCTTTATAAAATAGTCTGACTTCTCTCCCAGAATCGATCATTTTATATAAAGTTCTGAATGAAGTCAAATAAAAAAAATGATTTGATAAACAACTTTTAATATTTTTCATACCTGTCTGATAGCATGTCTATCCCTGACAGGTCCTGTTTTATCTTGAACACTAGTTCCTCTACCTTGTGGTATGACTGGTAAATACCTTTGTTGCAGTTGTAAATGTTCCTGAAATGCAATTAATATGTATAAAACTCAAAACTAAATGAAAATTTGTGGGAATAAATATTTTCTGCTTTTAACAATATTTCTTTTCCATGGGTGCAAAATTCACCATTAAATGCCAAAATATTGAGTATTAAAGTATAATAGCAATGTAAGGAATTGGAAATTTTGAACAATCAAATATAAACTGAAAATGTACGTTTTATTAAAATTCTATAGTTCATACGCTTATAAATATTAAACAGAGGCAAATCATTAAACTATGAATTCAAAATTTTATTTTGCTAAAAACGTTAGCATGTCTAATTCAAAGCCAAGCAGTGTCTTTTCAAATTTTGAGAAAAAAAACTCAAAGAGACAGACAAATAGACTGTATAGAAGACATCATAATGTACAACAAAAATACCACAACTCTTATACTATCAATTTCAATCGTATTTTCGAACTAAAAAAATTGGTTTCGATACCAGCTCATGTTATTACATAGTTTAATATGAATGCATTTTCACTGTGGTAACTATATCAGATTACATTGAGGCATATCTCAAAAAAATGACATATAATTTTAGCAAGCCTGTTTAGAGTTTCCCCTACAACAGGGTCGTCCAACCTTTTTAGCCGAAATGCCACTGTAGTTTACTAATAATTGCGCGGGCCACTTAACATGACATTATGTTCTAGTTTTGCTACACTGACTACAGGTTAACGTAAAAACAAACAATACCAGCACACACAACTTTCACAATTATTATACAAATGGCCATCAGTAGTCCCATCAGACCAATACCGCTAGTCGTATCCTTACCAGAGACAATGGCTGCGAGCTCTGCGGTAATTTCAAAATCATTATTAATCATTGCAAGAAGATTGCAAACTGAGCAGTAACCGTTTGAAAGGGCTGGCAGAGCGCATTTCAGGAAATTGAACAAATCGTGTCACATCTTTGTATACCACATCACGAAAAATAGTTTTACTAGTTTTATGTTCAATTCTGAAAAATACAGCGCGGGCCACATATTGCCCGCGAGCCACGGGTTGGATGACCTGGCCTACAACATGAAATGCTTCAAAAATGTAAATTGCCCCTCGACTGAGATCACAATAATTTCTCCAGTTTGAGGTCAGAGGTGAGTCCTTTTTGAAAGTCAGCAATATATTATATACCTCGTGTAATTGTTGCATGCTGTCAAATTGCAATTGTTTTCCCATCTCTAATTGCTGACGAAAAGTTTTCAAACTAGCTGCACCATCTGATGCACGTCGTCTGTATGGTTGGACACTCGATGTCTCACTGTATAAAAAAGAAAAAATTGGAATACATATCCAATTCGTTCCAATTTGACATAAAGTGTGATTGACAATTGACATATTGTAATTAGGTTATATGACAGTTAAATTAGTACAGTTCCAAAATATTACATTAAGGAATACGAATATCAAGAACTGTTACGCTGCTTTTCCATCAAAATACTGACATAAAATATTGCTTTTCATAAATTGTGACTAATGAATATGGCTTGATTTTATTAGAAAAGACGTCACAGAGTTACTTATCAAAATTGATAAAAATGGTCATTGGTATTCCTATTAAGACTAATATTTTAACCAGAAAGAGTCAGAACTTTTGAGAGACCAACAGATTCAAAGTACAGGGTTGTCCATGAACTCTTAAAATTTTTTAAAATTGGAAAGCAACACCAAGATTTTATTGGGGGAGAGGAGAGCCGATAAGACAGCTTAAATCGAATGGCGAACCACGGCCTCCTGTCCAGTCACCAGTCCATGTCAAGTATGGGGACTAGTAAGTCAGTTTTCAGAAGCATGGACTTGGATGGTGGAGGAAGTCATAACCGACTAGCGGTTACATGAACCATCCTACGGCGGCAAGAAGTTCAGCAATCCTCCCGCACATAACTATGGGATTCGAACCCGACAGGGCATTCCCAGCGCTTAGCATGATGCGTCACACCGACGAGTCAATAAACAGCAGTAGAGCAAGATCCTTTACCTGTCTGGTGGAAGTAGCAATGATGGTCTTCTTCCTCCTCGCATGGGTTGCATTCTACTGTGTGCATTTGTTGCTGAGACATTAAACATCTGCTGCCCTCCTCCCCGAGGTGGCGGTAACAAACTACCCCCCTCGCCATCTGCAGGTATTGTTACAGGTAGCGTGTGCCTCTTCATGCCACCTCTATTTTCAAGATACCTAAAAAATGGAAATGGTAGCATGTAAAAATAACATCAGATATAAAAAAATTAGTAGTATTAAATTAGTGCATTAGGTTTCACTATCCAAAAAATTTGCACAATTCTCAAATTTAAGTTTAAATAAAATGATTCCTAAACGCAAAGTGCAATGCATCAAGCACAAGTCTCAAGTATTTTAAAAATCTTAAAGTAATGAGGCAGAAGAAAACGAGATTGAATTCGTTTGGCAGCGACTAATATATATGACTGGTGATTAATTTATATATCCACATAGGAATGGCCGACCATGGCCCACTAATGAATCTATCCACTGTCAATTTAATTGACATTGAAGGAAGCAAGCCTATTTATCTACGACTCTTCCACAATTCTTTGGAAAGTCATTTTAGGGTTAACAGAAAATTGATAGAAGGAAATGATAAGTACAGGTCACAATTTTTGGACTTAAAAATGGATTTTATTAGAAAATTCTTGCTCCAAATTTCCCCAGGGAAGCAAATTCCAGTTATATTCAAAGATGAGTGTGTGACATTGCCACGTTAAAAAATTTATGCTGAGATTGTTTTTTGCTTTTATTAAACTTTTAAAAAGATTAGGAAATTTAAGATTAGTTTTAGAGGTTTTGGAGCTCAATTAAACTAGCTTCAGTGTTTTAAATCAAAACAAGGCATTTAAAAAACTTTGAAAAAAGCCAAACAGTCAATAATACTTTATTCTACTAGTTGAGAGTGGGTTCGGATTTATGGAAGCAATTATCATACGGATAGTCTCCTCCATTACATTATAGGCTTTCCAGGATGCCATATTATGGGCAGGGGGTATGGCCTTAGGGCAGTCACACAGTATACACAGGAAAGAAAAAGTAGCCATTTCAAAATAAAAAACCTATTCCTTATTACCAACAAAGCCAGAGAAAAAATAAATATAACAAAAGCAGCAATAAAATTCTAATGAAAAAAAAAATTTACCTTTGCACTGCAAGTGGATCTGGTTCTTCATCTGATTCATCATAATCTGCTGTGTCTACTGATGTACTTCCATACTGTTGGAATAATAAATACAGATTTTGGAATTTGTAAATAACAGGAATAGTAGACATACAATGATTGCTGATGATTTGTGATCCCACAACCCAATCACAAAATAGTAACTACATGGGTTTGTCTAGTAAGCGGAGTCTCTTGTCCCACCCTAAAAATAACTACCGGTAGCTAACAATAAGTTACAAATACCAGATAGTAAGGCGAAAGTATGATTTATGTTTTATTCAAAAAACATGTTAAAAATATGTAGACGGACTGTAAATAATGGAATCAATAAAAAGTTTTAAAATGTTAATAGCAAAAATAGAACCACTGGTCTACTAGATCCTTGTTTGGGGACATAACAATCCCTCCAAAAAAATTCTAATTTGCATAACAATGATAATTTGCATAGCAATGCCTTTTAAGATAATCTGTAATAAATTTGAAAATAAAATGGATTTTACTTATGTTACACAATATATTTATTCACATATTAGCAAATTAGAATATTTCTTAACAAGATAACTCAGTAGATTGCAGGTTAACAAAACAATTTTTCATCTTTCCATCATACAACTGACAACCATGACTAGAGGAAAGTTTGCTTATTCAGGACACGGCCGATCAAGTATGAGTCTACTTTATATTTAAGTGAGTATGCTTGACCTCACCCTGAGTAAATTCTATGAAAAATAACCAAAATTGACCAACTTTGTTTACTGTCGAGACACACTGATTATTCAAATTAATAAGAGACAACAATACAACACCATAAAACAATATTTCACCTTGTATTTCAATAGAAACTCCTTCATGGAAGCAAAAACCAAAAAAATTGCTCAGATTAGCATGAAAAAAATGAAATGAAAATTTAAATAATATTCATAATCATCAAATTACAAAAAACATACCTGTGAAGAAACCCCTGAGTCATCGTTTAATGAATTTTGATGACTCATCTGTTGCAACTTGTCTGCCGTTGTACCAGCACATGCAAGCTGACTTTGCCCTTGCATCATTCTACGTTGTTGCAATTGCTGTAGCAAACAGAAATTTAAAAATATTTATGCGATAGTCAAATGTTTCATTTAACAAAATAAAATACTGAAAATCATAAAAAGTGTCATACAAAATACAAAAAAGAGACTTTATCAAAATTTTAAATTATTATTTACTTACTATCAAAGCAAATTCATAATCTGAGCAAATTGAAAGATTTCAAAAAACATACCAAAATGGATGAACAATCGATTATGCTTTGATTAATATTAGATTAAAAACTTGAAGTTAAATCATGGCCGAAATGCATAATCCTAAAAATTCCACCCATAAATATTCATCGATCAAAATAAAAAAAATATGGTAACCTGCCCTCTATATGAGCTGAATAGCTCACTACAGAAGGCTATTTATATACCCATCGCTAATTCTAATCCATTTAATAAATGTTGAAATTTCATTTGTACCTGTGCGAACAATTGTATATTAGCTCCACCATCTGATGCTCTTCTGCCCATTGGATTTTGTGAAATCATCTGGAAAGCTGGCGGCTTCAATAGATTCTGCTCCTAAATTAAGAAGTGAGATTATATTTTTATTTAATATATTTTGAAGGTATGATTACCTGTTTTAATGAGATCACAAAGAACAAGCGAGCTAACAAAATAGGTCTAGAGATGGAGTAATGAATCAGTTCATCATTTATCGGATAATTGCACATTGTTTTTTGATAATGATGTTTTTCATAAAAAATGTTTTCGATACGAAAAATACCGACAAAATTTCGGAGAAAAATATATTTACTAATAAAAAATGGCTCTATCATAAAAATAATCTATGATGGTTCCCCAGACAATATTCCAGTAGAAAAAACACTTAGTTTACAGGTTGAGTTTTCATAAAATTGCAAACTTTTTCTTGACCCCAAAAAATTAATATAAAACATTTCTGTAATCAATAAGTAGAAAAATTTGTTACCTTATACTGTAAGGTCATTGGCATTCTCATAAACGGCATGTTATCATTAGCTGATTGCTGCAAGTTTAGATTTGGTACAAAGAAAGGTGTTGGTTGGGGTGATAACCCAACATTTGGAGCCCCGTCTTCTGGTGAAGAACCTGATATAATTTCGAAATATTTGAAAAAAAAATTCAAAAAATTGTACTCTTAAAACCAGAAGTTTTTAATACTAACAATTTAATAATATATAAAATTTAATTTTATTAGAAATTTGCATACATCAACATATATTTGAATAAATTGAATTTACAAATGAATTAAAGTTAGGATAAGCATGATTTTTAGTGGTTTTTAAATCCAACCTGTCCAACCTGTCCATAAAATGATAAATCATCAAATTCAATCAGTTTACAATACCCTAAATTTTCATAAATTAAGAATACTCCATGTTAAACAGAATTAATTTTGTATACTCAACATGTCTTGAACAAACTTGTTCTAAACTCTAATACAACGACTTAAAAACTCTTACGTTGTGCTGTTTCCATATTGGCTTCCATTTGATTAGCATTATGTCGTTGTCTTTGTTCCAGTCTTGCTCGCAGATCATCTGGAATCTCAGTTCTAAAAAAGAAATATCAAGATTTAATATGGTAACGTATAGTTTGGACGGATTTCGAGCCTTGCCTATTCTAAATTATGTTCAGTGACACCTATGTCTCATTTAAGTATCGAGAGTCGAGACTTATCTATATTATCACACTAGTAAATTTATTGATATTAGGCGAGATGATCAGGAGAACAATGTAAAGCGAATTGATTTTTCCCATCTTGTGATAGAACTTTTGGTATTTAAATTCAAGTAGCTGTATTGTATCCCTATCAAAAATGTAAATTACCATGTGAGAGCGTGATATGGTATAAATAATACGTTTAGAAAAATTTGTATACAATGTAAAGCGTATTGATTTTTCCTATCTTGTGATAAAACCTTTAGTATTCAAATTCAAGTAGCTGTATTGTATCCCTGTCAAAAATGTAAATTACCACACGAGAGTGGTATAAATGATACATTTAAAACAATTATTATGCTAGAATACCTATAATGTGGTCCATACCTTGGATCAGGCATTCCAACAGTATGCCTTCTCATTGTTAAATATCTTTGCAATGCTTCTGGTGATGGTTCATCAGTATCAGAGTCATCAGACATTTCCTCCTGAAATATGGTAAACAGAATGTTTCTCACCCAAGTCTATGAATCCAAGATTTTTAATTTGTGAAGGCTAAAATCTAAAGCTTTGAGCAAATTACACCAAAATTCATACAAATTTTTATTTTACTTAGAACTAACTTTTTAGACATCCATATATCACCTTGGAACTTCTTAAGAACAAAACAACCAAACTTGACCATTGATCAATCAAATAAAACTGTGAAATAGTAATTCTTCGAGTAGAAATTCTAAGTAAAAACTATAACACAAACCTGAATGACTTGATTATTTTCATTTATAAGTTGTAGATGTGGAACATGCAATCCAGAAGGTAATATAACAGAAGGAGGCAATGGAGTACTGATCCCACTTGATGATGGAGGAACGGTAGCTGTTGCGTGTAAAGCTGTTGAAGGCTTCACAGAAAACACAAAAACAAGATGTTGTATGATCTAAAAAAACTTGTTCTAACCATTCCAATTATACAAGTCTGATTTAAATACTAGATAAGACTTGAAATTCCTAGTTAGTGTGTCAAATTTGCAATTAGAAACAAAAAAATACGAGAATCAGAACATCGCTTTCAATGAGACAAATTGTAAGGAGACAGTTGTAAGGGTAAACCAATTTTTGTGTCCACCGTCCTTTCGAATGCCATTCCTAATTAATTTAATGTTTGATTATATTATATGGCTAGTGTGTAATTTCAGTATAAATAAATATACAAAATATACCACTGATTACTGAAATTCAATAGAAACAGTGCTAAAATTTTAATTCTGCTCAGATCAAAACCAAAATGAGAGCCAACAATAAATACAGACAAATTAATTACAAGCACTGACAGTCTGACACTATTAAAAGAGATGCAAGTAGATAATTATGATTTGATTTCGATTCATTTAGAAAAAAAATTCTCCACTGTAGCGAAAAATTAAAACGGAAAAAGCATCAGGTTATAAGATAACAGACTAGGGAAAAAATATAAAAGATGATGTTCATACTCGTTTATTTAAAATCTAAACAAAGTTAGAACTTACAATTATGTTTCCTTGATTCACAATGGGGAGATTAGGAGCACCGAGTACCAGTCCACCAGAGTTTGGTACCCTCATGGTAAGAGTGGGTATGGTACCCATCACAATTCCAGGGTGAGGTGATGAGATGCCCGATGTCATGTGAGTTGTACCATGAGGCAAGTTGATCTAAGATAAGATGGAAAGATTATGATTATGTAAAACTCATACATAAGGAGCTGAATTTAATAATACACCATAATCAGACCTCCTGAAGTATGCGCACCAAGATGGCGCACAACCTGAACATAGTATGTGTGTATCGGTTAGTATTCAGGTTGTGCGACATCTTGGTGTGCATACTTCTGGAGCACCCCATAATCTTTTCGGTACTGCATTGCCTACCCAGTTTACTGCACCATAGGTAAGGATCGGGCTTGGCGAATAAATCAAGCATCTTCAACATGAGGTGCATTTGAATCCAGCGCTCTTAACTAATATGGCTATAACACCCAAAAATATAACAACAGTGTCAGATATTCATTACCTATATTCAATATTTTAGGCTTACTTTCACAATTACTTCTAATTACAAACAATCTACCATATATTGTTCAATTTTACATGAAAATCATGATTTCTCTGCTAAAATTTTAAATTTTGCAGAAGTATTGACAGCATCCTTCTTATAGCAATAATCTGAAAGTTCTTTAAAATTAAAGTCATTAACATTCTAACACACAGAACACAATGCTGCATGGAATCTTCGTTATAGTCCAAATATATGAGCAATTATTGCATCTCTGAAAATCTCCCACAATAAGGCGTAACAAGAAAACAGCTTTTAGTCGGAATAAAAAATAAAAACAAAATCATGTTAGGTATGCTTGATTAGAGTTACAAAAATAGATTCAAGAGAAAATACTGTACAAGTCAGTCATGAAACAGTACACAGATGGAAATTAATTCAAATGATTTACCTGTGATTGAGCTTGTCTTGCCAGTCTATGTTTTCTCCATTTATCCAACAATAGATAATATATCGCTGCATGATTATCGAACTCTTCATTCAAAATAGACTGAAATATAGAAAGAATGATTAGAGACCAAAGCTTCATTGCAATTTTCAATACATTGTATAAAATATAATAATGTTTTGAAAAATTTTTTGAGTATTATTCATTGGAAAAGAAGTGAAAAATAAGATTTGTATATGACTAAATATTTGTCTAAATTAGATGATGTTCAGGATTCAGACAAAATTCACAATCAAATAATGCCTTTGAAAAATATTTCATAAGGTTTTCCCCACCATCACCTCAAGACGGGTTAGATACAGCTAGTCAGCGATAGATATTTTTGGATGAACAGGAAACTTTCCAGTTTTCATCAATTCATATAATCAAAATCACCATTTTTAAAGAATTTATCATTATTACGATGAATCTTGAAAATCTAATCTTATTTATTTTGAGAATAAAAAATAAAATATAAGAAAACAGCAGCATAAATAATTGACAAAAATGCGGTGGTGTGGAACGATAAAAACATAACAAATTTGTGATATATATACTTCCTATATCAAAATAATTTTAGGATAATTTATATTGAGAAAAGCACCTTGAGCGTAATTCAACAACTCACATTTGTGGTGGTAAAAATACATAATCTTTAAAACGTGTATAAACACATTCTAATAATCTCCCTTTTTTTGTGACCATGCATGAATTGTACAAATATTACAATAATAAGCAGACAAATTGTCTGGATAAAAATAGTACAGCTATTTTTGACAACTGTATTTTGATGACGATAGGAAACATGATAACACATAGAGCTTCAATTTCAAGCTTTTTTAAAAAATTTTGATTTGGTCAAAAAATTTTTTGCAAAAATAACAGACGCTAGCTTTGTACCAGAAGAATGATTTGTAGAATGATGATTAAATATAAAGGACATGCTTTTTATTATTGTTTCAAAATTATTTCCAACTAAAACTTGATCTATATTTAGCATGATGCCAAGTTATCTTATTGTAACAAGATTGAGAACAGTACTTATTCATGAACAATCATGTTCATTTAAATTTATCAGCTTGTATAGTCTTGTTCAGGGAAAAAATGTAAAAAGAAGTTCTCAAAAGTGCCATTTTATAATTTTTATTGGGCACTGAAAGTTCATGTGTTTTAGTAAATCTACCGTTTACGCATATTTTTTTTTGTAACCTATTTTATTCGTGGTGCCATATTTTAATTTTTATGGTGCCCAAAAAATGAATGTGCAATTTTCTTATATCTTATCTGATTAATGCAAAGATTGTATGAAAAAATGGCATTTTACTATTTATTATGATAAATTGAAAATGGACAATGCCTTTCAGATGACATAAGTCATAAACAAATCTAGCCTTACTGATAATATCAGATTAAACAAATCAAATAACATTACAAAGCTAAAATGTAATTACATGTTATTCTCCTTTTCTCATCAATTCGATGATCTATCAGAAATTGGATTACATTAACCATAATCCAATCAGACATATTGGCATTATGTTTACAAGCGATCTGATCACAATCTGTTGCATAGGTAAATGAATAAAACATTAGAATATACGTCTGAATAAATAGCCGAGGGATGGGTGACGCAATGGAAAGATTGAAAAACAACAGGCTAGAGGTAAAATGGGTTTGGGTCCTTTTGGAAACAATATAAAGAATCACATATAATCAACAAATGGGCGCTCCTGAAGTATGAGTACCAATATGGCGGTAACTAATTTTGTTCACCTATTTTACATCAATTTGTGTAAAGGGAATGAAACCTATTGTTCACCTATTTTACATCAATTTGTGTAAAGGGAATGAAACCTATGGACAGTGGGATGGATATTCACTTGGCTAACACTGACAGTTCGCGAGCCCGTAATATAACTAAAACAAGGAAAATCGGAATAAATTCATGGCCTAACCCTAACCTGGTACACATATTTCGGGAGTACCAAGGACTACTCCTAGAAATCATATTGCATTGCTGATAGCATAAAAAGATAGGAAACGTTTAAAATCGGGAATATGAAATACGAAGAACTCTACTAGATAAGATATTTGATTGTACTCAAAGAATAAAATAAACATTGTGTCCAAATTTATTCAATAGAATGGTGATAATGATAACATTCAAGATTTTTTTATCCATAGGTTGAATCGAGGTACCATTTTATTATAAGATGAGCAATGCTTCACTGAAAACACGAGCAAAAAATTGAAATAAACCCTTTCAACTTTTTGATTTACTATTCTTTAGTTATCAAAGGTTAAATGAGTTTATTATATATTTCACAGGCTGTGAAATGGTGAAATGCACAAAAAATGACAATAATTGGTATTGAAATCAATTTTTATATTTATTAAAAATAGGATGTTTTGAATAGTCTATTCATTTAAACATCCCTGCTTAAAAGGGGCTGGAAAATACTTGAGAAATTGTTCTTCTAAGTTAGATGATAAAGATTATTACTTTTATTATAAAACAGAAAAACATTGACAATATTTCAGGCAAGATAAAAATTATCAAACAATTTCCTGCCAACTAGTCATCAACTCATTGAAGCTGACAATTTCCTAAAATTTATTCGTAAAAATACGACTGCAAATAATGCCCGAGGCAAAGACGAAATATCTAAAACAACAGCCGCGGTTAGTTGATGACGTACAAGCCAGATAAAGAATTTTTCCCAATAGCTTGAGTTTATGAGAATAAGTTGATAATGGATTGATATCTTAAATTTGTTTCACTTCAACTTTTTCACAATTTTTTTAATCACAATCCTATAATATGAATCGTGATGGAGTGGTCGGACAATTTTGAAAAAAAATAAACTAAATGCAAAATAGGTGGTATTCAAGAATGTTTCACTATAAACAAATATAAAAATGTGTTTGTTGATGACACTAAAACGACCTTAAATATATTGAGAAGAATAGCCCATTCAACAACAAAATGACTTAATCGTAATCTGTCACATTATCTTCAACAAATTTGCTTGAAGCAACAATTTAAGCATCTATTATGTAGAAACATTTACTGCTAATTAAGAGATTTTCTCAAAGCAATGTCATCTGCAATCCCACAGATTTAAAGACTAATCTCTGAGGAAAGGTATGGGCAACCACCAAAATGTCAGAAGCTGAAACTATATAGGCGGCGGATTGTGTGCTAGCAAATGTCGATTGACGATACTTGAAACAATTTTTATCGATCATAAGAGGGAAAACAAATTAAAGGAAATAAATTGCACATAGGAAAATTTTGTGAAAAAATATTAGACTGAAGCTTATGTTTTTATATTAATCAATAGACAATGAGATCCGGTGTAAATCAAGAAAACCAACTTTTCAGCAGAATATAAGATAGGTTCATCATCTCGGAACAACGGACGAAAATTCAATATTGAAGAATTGAAACAAATACAAGATTCAGAATCTGATTAAAGTGATTCAGCCTAGATATGTTGTCGGTAAAATAAAATTTCTACTTACATTTTTAACTCGTTCCTTATCAACGCCAGCTTCACCCATTTCATTTAAAATCATTTCATTCAATGGTTCTCGCTTGTTCATTTCCTGAAAATTAAAGATTAATTGTTAACATTTTGAAAAAATTGAAATCAAAATACATAAATAAAAGTGGTAACGAGGATTTAATGAAATATTCGGCTTAGAAAAGATCACAAATTCCTAAAAATTAGAGTGTATATATGAACTAATGATTTAACCATAAAAACGAATTCTTCAAGCCTATTTCAAATTTGTAATATAAAGTTTGTTTTTACCTCTGTATTCTTGCATTCATTGATTAGATTTTCAAAAGTTTCATCTCTTCCTGCTTTCTTGATCCATGCATGATCGCACACCTGCTGAAGAGAGAATCTTCTGCTGGGATTAACAAGAAGCATTCCACGAATCAACTGTTCACATTCTAGAAGAAAAAAAAACAGAGAGTTATGATTGTGACACTCTGAGATTATATAATGATAAAATGTGAAAGAAAGATTTACGGTAAATAAAATGATGGAAATTTTTAATTTGAACCAGATTCAAAGTAAGTTTAAGATGGTTTGTAGATCAAACCCTTCAAATAAAATATGAAAATAAAATACGCCAGCAACTCATCTGCTCATCCTCAGTGAACACTCTCAACTAAGATTTTTTGTTCTATAAATTTTTATTAAAAAAACTTTAGTTACAGTTTGGGTTTATTAAGAGAATTTACTTGAAAAAATAAGTGATGGTATAATATCAATTAGAGCATGATAAGCAGAAGGCATTGTTATCTTTTGGCTACTGACGGCACTAACTCAAATGAAAAATTCAAACACTTTTGCGGTATAAAAAATACATCATCTTTTTCTACTTTACAAAGTAGACTAACCTTGAGACATGAAGAAAGGAATCCGAAACTTTCCATTGATGACTCGAGACCGTAATGCTTGTAATGTATTGTCATCAAATGGCAATGATCCACATACAAGAACATACAGCACAACTCCCAAACTCTGAAATATAAAAAAGATAATATTGTAAGAACTAAGGAATTTATAGGTTTGTTAGATTTTTTTAACAATGTATTGGATTAATATTAAGTTTTGATATGATAAGATCCACATATTTATCAAGGGTAGAGGAAAGCCGATAGATAATATAGCAAACCACGGCCTCTTGTCCAGTTACCAGTCTATGTCGCGTATGGGATTAGTTAGTCAGTTATTTGTTTCAAATGCATAAGCTTTCGGTTAGATTACAAATCATTATATCAAGTATAGTATGTATATAATTTCACGAAGAAACTGGGATCAATTTAATTTGAAGAATTGTCATTTTTTAAGTATCAGTCATCTGATGGCCAGACAATTAATGATATGCATCCAAAAAAAAATTCTATAAATTTACGATGATCCCTGGTTGGAGCATTATGTGGTGCTGGGCCGCAGCTTGCCCATATCAGGTTTGGAGTGAACATTTGAAAGCATTACAAAGATTCGCTTTCAATTCAAAAACTCAAATTCCCATCTAAGATGACCCAGATTTGAGTTCATCAGAGTACCATTTCTTTCCCATGTGAAGTCATAAAAACAAATCATGGTCTCCCTAGAGAGGGTGTCATCCTAGCTTGTAAATGATACCACCACCACACACAATACGCTCAAGTTAGTCATTTCTGCATTTCATACTTGGTAAGGTATACAAGAGAGTTAATTTGTGTGAGGTTTAAATGGAGAAATGCAATTGGAAGCATCATAACAATTAAATAATGAAATCACAAAACAAAGATAAATTATGGAAGATGACTAAATTGTCTGGTGGTCACTTTCTAAATGATGGTACCGAAGATGGTACTTGAATAAAGACACAAAAATAAGTACGGCCAGGCGTGATCAGGTAATAAATATTATCATTAATTCAGGAAACCAAATAGAGGAAAATAACAATTACTGCAAGTATAGACAGATAAATAATAATAAGAATATTAATTTATTCTGCTGGCATTTCACTGTAATTCAAGTAATTTGCAGGAATAGGATATAAATAGGATTGGATGTAAACCCTAATATCTGGAATGGGAATCTAATAAGCAAAGGTATAAAATAAAATTCAGATTATTATTAGCAATATGTAAATTTGAAGTTTAAATATAACTCCAACCAAAGGCATATAAGAGGGCATGAAAGCATATCCATCCTGGCTACAAAATCATCTTGCATTTGTAAATAACATCTCGATGTCTCAGTGTCGAATAGATGAAAGATATGTGTCTGATCTGACTAGACCATTAACACCAGTGGATGAGAAAATTCCTTTAATTTATGTCATCGAGTGCAATAATCTTGTTAGAAGTCAGACTCATTTGTTATGTCACTCTTAACAAGCATTATGTGGTGAGAAGTGACAGAATGATGAAGAGATTGAAAATGTGTGGCGGTTTAAATGCAACTGTCGTGTGACAAGTATACTGTGATAAAAATAGATAACCCAAACGTTTTTCCTTTTAAAACTGCACGACAAGTTAAGTATTATACATAACTTTGTCAAACTCTCATCACAAGTAAAGTTTTCTCTTTCAAACCCATGTAAAAACCGTATGTAACAATTCGGTATGCTTCATTTTTTGAAACTGTCAAATCATTACATAATTAATATGACTGCTGGCCTGAAGCCAGGTTCAGAGCGAAGGTGCAAACCTTTACTTGGCTGTTAGTACAAAGTATAACCTATTTGTAACTTTCAATATATAGTTTGAAGCTTTAGAAACAACAGAGCAATGCCCAAATATATTGACACAAATATCTCAAAGGTCATACAAGTGTTCCTATGTGCTATAAAAAGTGTTCCCATGGAATAATAATAAGAAAGCATCAAAATATAGAAAACATCGGGTCCCATATTAGGATTAAAAGAAAATTTGAAAAAAGCTTTCTTGCCACTTCTTCCATTTTAAGTACTGAAATTTTGATATCAGTTGGTCCATTAGGTAGGGAGAAAGCAATTTTCCCAACAATACCAATTTGGGGAGAGCAAAACGATTCAAGTATTCTTAAATGAAGTGAAACATTCAAAAACTTCATATTATATCATAAATATTCATATATATAAGTACACATGGAGGAAAATACCATCCACTGCTGTCAACACATCTGAAGACAACATCACTAATTAATATTATTCAAAGAAAGCCAACAAATGTCACATATCAAAGCAGCAGTGTTATGACATTCTAACCCTGCTGGACATGGTTTGAATATAAAGGTTGTGCACTCTTTCATGTAGGATTAACAAAATTGGAACAGATTTTGCTCAACATTACAGAAAAAGTATCAATCAGTGATACATCAGTATCACTCAGAACAAAGTAAATTTAAAATAATGCATGGAATTCAGTAATTTCATTTATTTTGCATCCTCATATATCTTAACTAGAATTCAAAATAAAACTAATGTTATAAGCCGAATGAATTGATCTTCAATGATAAATTACTGTGAGAAGATGGTAAATTAATAATTTTTTATAACAGCATTCATAGAATCCTCAAATGTGAACCGGAATAAAGCAGGTTATTTTGACATTGGCAATGACATTTGAAACGACAAATATTTTAATTTACCGCTAATGTCAATTTCATAGAACACAGGGATTCCACATAAAACACGTCCACGGATATCAAAAGAATATTTCCCAAGCTACAAAGCACCTTGAGGAGTATATTTAACACAAAGTTTTGGGAATGTCACTAAGGGTCAGAAGATGCAAGCAGATGTCAATCAGTAAAAATGTAATAAATTCAACGCATAATGTTTCATTGATGATACAAATTCAGTTGTCGGTAAGCTTACAATGGAGTCATATCACAAAAATAGGAATCATGTAACCGCATTGTCATTTTAACAAGGTCAAGGAAGAGAATGATCAAAATCACGACTCTTTCAACTGAAAGTAGTGACTGATGGACGGTTAAATTTGATTTTAATTTTTTTATGATCAACAAAATGAACTTTTGTTCAAGCTCAGAACTTTCATTTGAAAGTTTTCATCATTATTCAGTAAATTTACAAGCATGACTAATTACAAAAACACAGCTAACATTCAAATCGAGTTTCATGTACAAAGAATTTGAATTCTATAATGCTATGTTCCAATTCAATTCTGAATACAAGTAGATTTATAGTAATTTGCAATAAAGACCACAATATGCAAATTTACAATACCAAAGAGTGATTAAGAGAATTTTCTTCTGAAAAAAAGCGCGAATCTTATTTTCAATAAATTGGAATTATGCTGAATTTAATTTATTTGGACATTTATTTGATGATTCGAATTAAATGATATCTAGTATTTAAATGGAAAATTATTAATATCTAAGCTTTCATCAGTCACGATGCTGTTTTGGTCTGGGTGATTGATAAAATGTTATGTTGAATGTTACAATACAACACAAGAATGAAAAACAAAACAAATCCTAGAATGCTTTTAATCCCAAGTGGCGAATGAATGCTCTCATGTATGCAAGCATCAAGGTTTATGACATCATTGTGACATCATGAAAAATATTTCCAAAACCCACATAGTTCCGCTAGTAAATCCTTTAAAACAGTTGAAAACCGCAAGGTACGTCAATATAGACCATAAAAATTTAACTAGTATGCATTGTTGGCAATAATTTTGATTCAAATCACAAGAGACCACTGTCTTTATTTAGGGAGTATTATTTTGCGATTTGCTTCAAGTTGAATGTGTAAAATTGAAAGATGACTTCATCTTGGGATCTAGAATATAGACATGGGTAAACAGGAAAAAGGTTGTTACCAAAATCTAAAATTAATCCAAGTGATTCAAGAGTCTTGCTGCACACTCACACAAATATATTTGTCTGACAAAAGGTCAGATGAAGCTTTCAGAAATACATTTTAGTTGGTGTGTGCGTTAGATAATAAATAATGGACAAGATTGAATGCTGTAATAGATTACTTTTCATGATTTTTTGTACAAATAATGTAATACTACAACCACATTATCATTGATTTTCAACATTGAAGACACAATAACATATTGATCTTGAAAAATTAAAAAAAAAAGTTGAATAAAGGTCACAGAATATGCAAAGTAAAAATCAATATGTCTGCACAACTGCATAAACAAATGAATATTACAAGCCAAACATAACACCAAGGTTCTCAATAAATATATTAAAAAATTAACCCTTTATACATTTTTGTTTTGGACATTTAAATTGATTTTTCATGTAGCAAAATCTCTGTAAAATCTTGCAGTGTTATCAAACAATTCAGTCATCTATTTTTTTGTATGCCAGTGGTTTTAAACCTTTTTTCTTTCGTGACCCACTTTCGTTGCACAAAAATTGTATGAACCATCAACTTTCTCATGCAAAAGCAAAACTACAAGAAAAGCAAAAAATTCTTTTCACAAATATATACCCTTCCCCTTCAATAATTTGAATGTAAAGGAAAAACGATCTCATTATTCATTTCTGTGGCCCAGTAGTGGGCCATGGCCCATTGGTTACACTGTATGGTGAGTATCAACAAATCTCTATTCCGAATACATTAATATTTTTCGGATATATTCTGAACTGGGTCATGTTCTTCAGAAATCAATGAATATCCAACGAGTTTGTATTGAAAACATAGGAAAGTTGAAACAAACAATGATTTGAATGGCTCTCCATTTCTTTTAGTTTTAAGAAATGAAATGAAAGCCTCTTTGATCGGATTTTAATTGCCTGGGACATTAATTTTTCAAATAAATCTAAAACCTACTTCGCAATATTGGTAAACCGCAAGAATTTAAAAAATCAAAAATGTTTAATTTTAATAGCCTCAAAAATTTTAGTTTTGCTGGTGGCTTGAGACCAGGTGACACACAAGATGTCTGACATGTGATACCAATTATCAGACTAAGCTGATAAATTGTAAACAAAATTGTTCAAATATTTATAATATCTAATTTCATTCAAATAAATTGAATGTGGAAAATACATTATTC